AGGTGCACGCCACGACAACGACAGCGGAAAACAGGCCAGCCTCCAGAGAGAACGCCTGCTGCTTGGCTGTATAATCTGAGGCGGCCGCTCGGGCGCATGGCCCTAGCCGCGACTCGTCAGACCCCAGACTGCAGTGATGACCTCATGCTGCTGGGAACGCGCCGGCAGCCTTATGTGGGCTGCTCGCCGGGATGGCGCGAGGCCGGCGGCCCGCTGGCGGCGCCAGCCCGGCTGCCGAGCCAGCCCGGCGTGGCCTGCCGCCCCTGTAGCCCCCGAGCGGGACTGGGTACGGCACGCGCCGCGGCAGTGCAGTCCTGGGCGGCCAGGGCACGCCTGCAGCTCTCTCCCGGTCCGCCCAGCTCCGCGCGGTCCGCGGCCCGCTGTCGGTCAGGGGCTCCAGCATTCTCCGCTGGCCACAGTCCGCGGCCCGCTGTCGGTCGGGAGCTCCAGCATGCTCCGCTGGCGACAGCGCTCCGGCCCCACGGCCCAGAACCAGAAACAGGAGTGATATTGACGCTGGCATTTTCGTACCCGATACACGCACGTTGCATATCCATGCATTTTTACAGGCCCCCGGACGAGTCGATTTCCATTTCGCCATCGCCACAAAGTCCCATTCAGAGAGCAACGAGCTACACAAAGGACAGTGTTTTTCATCGCGGCGTGCGTCAACGCCGGCCGGCCGGCTATTTTCGACCCGTTTGTAACGCAAACAGCTGTATCCGCGCCAGGCCGTACCGGAAGTAGAATATACTACCAGCCCGACGGACCGGTCGGGGCTGACAACCACCGTCGGACCGGGGCACGTAAGTCGAGGGGCCATCCAGCGGGGCTGACAACCACCGCCGGACCGGGGCACGGGAGCCGAGGGGCCATCCAGCGGGGCCGACAGCCACCGCCGGACCGGGGCACTGGAGAAGAGGGGCCATCCAACGGACCCACGGATCGGCCAAGTTGGGATGGGGCCGTCCGGCAAGCGGCCGAGAAGGATGTGTGGTTGGCGGTCATGTTACCAACAGCAAACAAGAGGGCTCTGAGACGTGCATATTACGGACCATAGTTACTCAGCGAGTTATATGTGTATCTCAAAGACATGCAGCACCTTTTATACGAGTGATTATATGAGTCATCACATAACTCCAAACAGTGGCCTGCATCTACGTGATCAAGAAAATCTTCGGAGACATTAGAGGACCGTAATGGAAAACGCATGTTATGGATGTCGTTTGAACATGAAAGGAAGTCAGTGTTGGAAAGCTCAATCAGACAGAAAGGACCGCACAAATGCGTCACCATAAATGCGCCAAGCGTTTTTGTTCGGGATCTCGTCGACCCCTCATCCCGACGTCTAACGGGCGTTTAAACTGGCGAATGGAAGCCCATTCCCCACTTCAGGCTGAGCCCATGCCTTGCCTATCACGTCTCGACCCAAGCCCATGCTCTAGTCGGCCGAGAGGCGCAGTAAGTTGGTTTGTTTACGGGTAAGGCGTCGCTGTTGACATAGCAACGACCAGCAGCGGTCGCCGGCTTTTCACGGTCTTGTATATCCGGCAAACAGGCAGCTCTCGATCTCATGTGGAAAGTGTGTCTGATAATGATACCTTTAGCCACAGATCGTTCGTCAATACCTGTTTTTTGACCCATATTCAAGTGCGCCGTTCCTGCACGGTTTATGTCCCCATGGGGTTGAATCAGCTGATTCTACTTGTGCCCACAGTCGGAATTAAAACATTCTTCAATGGCGTGTTTCTGTAATGCCACCGTAAGGACAGAGCTTGGGCCATAAGTCAGTAAGAAACCGGACGCGGGTTGTTCAGAAGGCGTGCGGCCGGGCCGGCGCCTCGCCGGCGGCTGTCAGCGACCCTAGCACCCCAGCGCATCGATTGGCGGAGTGAGGCCGGACGGACAGGAGGGGGATCGTATTGACCTACGCACCGAGGCACTGCCAGTTCACTGGCCCTGCCCGATGTGCGCCGACCACCTCGACACGCGACAACAGACGGACTCAGTCGACAGTGGCCCTCGGGTATTTGAGCCCGTCCCTCTGGCAGTCCTCAGTCCTTTCAGTCGGCAGTAGCCCTCAGGGCTCTGAGAGGACTGCGCCACACGCCAGCGGCGCGGAGGCCGGGGCCCGGCGCTCCCGTGTACCATTGTCGAGGGCTCGGCGCTCCCGTGTACCATTGTCGAGGGCCCGGCGCTCCCGTGTACCATTGTCGAGGGCTCGGCGCTCCCGTGTACCATTGTCGAGGGCCCGGCGCTCCCGCATACCATTGTCGAGGGCCCGGCGCTCCCGTGTACCATTGTCGAGGGCTCGGCGCTCCCGTGTACCATTGTCGAGGGCCCGGCGCTCCCGTGTACCATTGTCGAGGGCTCGGCGCTCCCGTGTACTATCGCCAAGGGCCCGGCGCTCCCGTGTACCATTGTCGAGGGCTCGGCGCTCCCGTGTACTATCGCCAAGGGCCCAGCGCTCCCGTGTGACCATTGTCGAGGGCCCGGCGCTCCCGTGTACCATTGTCGAGGGCTCGGCGCTCCCGTGTATTATCGCCAAGGGCCCAGTGCTCCCGTGTACCATTGTCGAGGGCCCGGCGCTCCCGTGTACCATTGTCGAGGGCCCGGCGCTCCCGTGTACCATTGTCGACGGCCCGGCGCTCCCGTGTACTATCGCCAAGGGCCCAGAGCTCCCGTGTACCATTGTCGAGGGCCCGGCGTTCGCGTGTACTATCGCCAAGGGCCCAGCGCTCCCGTATATCATTGTCGAGGGCTCGGCGCTCCCGTGTACTATCGCCAAGGGCCCGGCGCTCCCGTGTACCATTGTCGACGGCTCGGCGTTCGCGTGTGCTATCGCCAAGGGCCCAGCGCTCTCGTGTACCATTGTCGAGGGCTCGGCGTTCGCGTGTACTATCGCCAAGGGCCCAGCGCTCCCGTGTACCATTGTCGAGGGCTTGGCGTTCGCGTGCACTATCGCAAAGGGCCCAGCGCTCCCGTGTACCATTGTCGAGGGCTCGGCGTTCGCGCGTACCATCGTCAAGGGCCCAGCGCTCCCGTGTACTATTTTGAAGCCGCTCCGGCTCCACCCCACCAGATGTGTGATGTTGCACACACATTTCTGAAGGACAGATATTTGGCATGTTTTAGATCATAGCCGAACCAGAGCACCGTGTCATAATTCATTTTCTCATCAACTGGCAGGGACACACAGCGGCAGCGGACCAATCACGCCAGAGCTGGATTACGTTAGTGCACAGCCAGGTGCGTTTATCGATTAAGGATTGTACAGCGTGCACACAGCACAAGTGAATTGATTATCAAACATGCCCATGGGCACGGTTACTGCTACAGATTACAGCCGAATATAGCGCTCCTTGGGTACTCTGAAACTAAGGCCATTTCCCATACATGAACGTCGTCATTTATTGTAGCACACCATTTGCCTTTTAGGACTTTCCTCTTTCCGGTTCTGGTCACGCTATGGGAAGGGCGGCGAGGAGAGAGAGAGAGAGAGAGAGAGAGAGAGAGAGAGAGAGAGAGAGAGAGAGAGAGAGAGAGAGAGAGAGAGAGAGAGAGAGAGAGAGGAGAGAGAGAGAGAGAGAGAGGAGAGAGAGAGAGAAGAGAGAGAGGGAGAGAGAGAGGAGAGAGAGGAGAGAGAGAGAGAGAGAGAGAGAGAGAGAGAGAGAGAAGAGAGAGAGAGAGAGAGAGAGAGAGAGAGAGAGAGAGAGAGAGAGAGAGAGAGAGGAGAGAAGAGAGAGAGAGAGAGAGAGAGAGAGAGAGAGAGAGAGAGAGAGAGAGAGAGAGAGAGAGAGAGAGAGAGAGAGAGAGAGAGGAGAGAGAGAGAGAGAGAGGAAGAGAGAGAGAGAGAGAGAGAGAGAGAGAGAGAGAGAGAGAGAGAGAGAGAGAAGAGAGAGAGAGAGAGAGAGAAGAGAGAGGAGAGAGAGAGAGAGAGAGAGAGAGAGAGAGAGAGAGAGAGAGAGAGAGAGAGAGAGAGAGAGAGAGAGAGAGAGAGAGATTCTTGTGACGTAACGTGATGCTCCCGCCGGACCCCATCTCCATAGCCCGTCGCTGGCTGAGTTAACCGCGACTGCTTGGGGGCTAAAAACTATCTGGTGTCTTAGTGCGTAATAGCGAGACTGATATATCAAAAGGCCATTGATAGCCCAGCCAATTCCACCCAGGAATTATTACCTTGACTCCCACCACGTGACAAGACAACAAACGGATAACACAAAATACCCTCAAATTCGCCACAATCTTTGCACAACTTCAGGGCTCCCAGGCATTCGTAACAATGGCCGCATATTTTTGAGCCGGCGTCGAACAAGTGCTGTTGTCCTTCAGAATATAACGCGATACTAGTTAAGGTAAAATCAGGTCGAAGGCAAAGTCAGCGGGCGTCAGTTCAAATCAAGGTCATGCCAGGTCAATGTCTGGTCACCACATAAAATGTTATGCATGTACTCTCCCAGTTCAAATGAGCGGTGGAAGTTAACTGTTTAGAGCACTATCTGTCACGCCAACTTATTTGCTGCAAGTGGGAGTCAGAAATGATTATGGTTTGACACATTCAAATTGGCCTTACATGACCTCTGCCGGTAAAAGGTACAATCACACGGCATCACCAACCCTAACTGGCAATTCTTAAGCCAGATGGCGTATTTCTGCATGTCAAAGCGAAAACCCTGAAACGATGACGAAACAACAGAAAGCCACTCACGCTGTCGCAATTTAGTAACTTGACCTGAGATCGAAAGCGTTGTTCCAGAACGTAGCAAGCTGATCACCTAACCGGCACCGAGCATTACGTGGGTCTGGTTCAATTGGTTCGTGAGCCATTCTAGAGGCTCGGCGGGGTATTTTTACCACCCCAGGCGACTGCGCGTTACCGCACATTGGGTGCGTCTCGCACAATCTCAGCACCGATCGTGTAAGCGCCCCCACTCCTCCACTCCCACCACCCCACCCCATCCCACCCCTGTCTTAGGACAGCGTCTGCCGTGTACACTCACAGCTCCAGGACGAGGATGACGAACACGTCGTTGTTGAAGACCTGGTGGACGCTGATGACGTTGTCGTGTGACATCTGCAGCAGCAGCTGCACCTCTTGCTCGATGTCAGCGAGCGGCACGCCGCGGCGAGACGACGCCACGCGCCGCTTCCGGATGAACTTAGCTGCGTACTCGGCGGCGGTGCTCTTCTCGCGGCAGCGGCGCACCACCGCGTGTTGCCCCCTGCCGACGCGCAGCGGTCAGGCACTCCACACGTCGCATCACAGTGGCGGGACGCGTCACATGTCACATGTCGTCAGCGGACCGCCAGCACCTGGCACGCGCCGCTCGAAGCTTCCCTGCGGCAGTACGGACCGGCCGTGCCACGCCCTCCACTAACGCGTGCCGGCTCCGCACCGGTGGCAGCCCAGATGGAGGCGTCGGGGCCTGGGTCTGCCAGAGTTTGGCTGGTACCGACTCCGCTACCCGCCTTCAATGTGCTCAGTGAAGGCAAATTTTTCCTGGTACGGACAAGGCCACGACATTGTCAGCCCAGGAGCTGTCCCAGTGCTGCCGGTACATATCCGTGCCTGTTATCGCTACCTGTTGGCTTGGGGTGTCGGTGGTGTGTTGTGAATCCCCACTGACGACGACCACCTGCTGGATTGGATGCCTCTGGGTGACTGCATCTCTAAACGTGGACCTAGCGCAAGGGCAGACGCCTGGTGGCCAGTGAGCTACCACCTCGTACCGCAACCCCGACATATTGAACCAAAGGTACGAATATCGTGACTACTCCCACTTAATGCCACCTTGTGCCGGTCCTTACTAGAATACATGCAGTAAGCCGTTAAAAAAATCTCACGCGACAGACACTGGCCTCTCAGGTGTAAGGGCCATCTTTGGTATGCTTCACAGTTCATGACGAGGTGGCATGAAGCCTAAGCGATGCAGACGTCTGACGTCGTGTAACGCTGAATGTCAAGGCCTGCTGCCGCTAAAGTCATGACCCGCTCAGTACACTACACGCAAACTTCCGGACGGTACTAATAAGGCCAATTCATAAAACGTGATTCTTTACGTCGATTCCCCAACGTGTGGCACGCAAATGCCAACAAGTGGTCTGATATCTGACTTAATCAAAATTCGCTTGCCCGCTAAATAAACTTCCTGACCTGGTACCCTGGTTGCTCTGGCTCTGAGCAGGCGAGACAGCGAAGCGGGGTGCCCACTACTGTTCAAAAGGCATTCGTTTAAGACAGCCCAGAGCCACCGTCCGACGCGCCGTCACGGAACCGCGCGACAACGCTGCAGCTCTGCGCAATCCCACCGTCATGTGCACCGCGGGTTTGGGTCTCAACAGGACTAACAAACCAAAACACAGGAGGTTCTCGTGGTTAGGTCAGTGTAGGTTAGGTTAGGTTAGGTTAGGTTAGGTTAGGTCAGCCACACAGACAATCGCGGGCCAGCCCCAGGGCGGCAGCATGAGGAAGACTCGGACAGCGGTCGGCTCCAGATCCTGACCACCCGGAGGGATTGGACAGGGGTCGGCTCCAGATCCTGACCACCCGGAGGGATTGGACAGCGGTCGGCTTCAGATCCCGACCACCCGGAGGGATCGGACAGCGGTCGGCTCCAGATCCCGACCACCCGGAGGGATCGGACAGGGGTCGGCTTCAGATCCTGACCGCCCGGAGGGATCGGACAGGGGTCGGCTTCAGATCCAGACCGCGACGAGAACTCCATGATGTGGCCATTGTTTCGCTGCAAGGCCGACGCGGAAAGACCGGCTCAGACAGCACAAAGGCGGCCGGGACTCGGCCGGGGCTCGGCTGGCGGCGGGGTGTCGGTGAACGGCGACGTGCAGGCATGCCCCCGCTCCAAACCAGGTCACGTGGTCCGGCTCTGACGCAGCCCAGGTACATACTGCCTTGTGATCTGATGCTGCATGGACCAGTTTTCTTCGAGGCGGCATGGGTTAAGTAACGTGCAATTTGTAGCGTTTCTCTGTGTCATGTTTCGCTTTTTACCTTTGCATGGCATCATAACCTTTTTCCCCGAACCCACACTGCCGCCCTGGTTGGAGCACGCAGCCTCGCCGCCTTTTTATTGCAGCTTTGTCTTGAAAAGTTCTCGCAAAGGCGAAGGAAAGTGTCGAAATCGACGTCAAGCCAACACGAACTTCCAGTTGTTCATGCACCCCTGCAATGGTTAATTGGTGACTCAGCCTCTACCCGTTGACCTTAAGTGATTCTAAACAGGTCACATCCCACCAAGTCTTGAAAAAAATCACACCGTTGTCAAGCTCAATGCCTATAATCCACTTGGTATTTTGAACGAATGCCATGACACCAAATATATGCAAAGCACTACGTGCATTTTGCTTATTTTAAGGTTATCACGCGCCCAGGTGGCCGGTTGAACGTAACGCGTTTGGGAAAGGCGGGCAATTTTTCCAAGATATCCCAAAAACCTGGTGGGCTACTTACACCAAATTTGCAGGATATGCAAGACATAATGTAAACCAATTTGTGTCCAATTGTGAGGCCGCTGCATTGTAACTGTTGGATCAAGTAAGGTCAAGCAAGGCCAGAGCCTAGATCGGTGTTCAAAGTGCCCACAGACCTCGTCACGTGGACATTTTGTTTTTACCTAGATACCTTTTCTAAACAAAACGCCAGTGGTCATCCCAAATCCCTGACCTTGTTTGATCTTAAGGATACAAAAATTACCACAGGCGTTCGAAATCATTTCAGTGATCGAAGTAAAAACTGACTAAAATTATACGCTAGATCGAGGTCCTTTTAGAGATTAATCGAGATCCTTTAGGTTGACCTCCTGACCTTTATGAAGTCAAAACAGAAATATTTTGATGTCGTTGTGATCAAGAAATTCGAAATGAACATCACAAACTACACCGTGCAGCAAGCTTTCCAGTAAAATACGTTTTCCGAGCACGGATTGGACCTTGATATGATCTTTATACCTAACACAAAGGAACTAATCGTAATGCTAATTTCGATTGTCGTATTGTCTGAAAACCATCTTTAATTTGTAAGACTTCTTCTAACACTCCTTTGTCGCGTCGGATCGACACATTCTCTTGGAATGACCTTCACTGGCACCCTGGTGTGACTCTGACCTGCCACAGGTCCACGGCCTTACAAGATATATCTGTCTTGTACCAAAAAATCGACGTTTTATCACCGTACAAGCATGCGTAGTCTGGTGCGGCCGCGCCGATCGTTGGCAAATTGTTCGGGAAAGAACCTTTGGGGATTAAACTGACCCCTCCTGAGTGCGCATTGGACCAAGGCGCGCTAAAAAATACGACGAATCGCTTTGAGAGTAAATGACGATGTTTGCTGACACGAACTAACAACACAGTGAACGCCTTTTGGCAGACGCAGCAGCTAGTACACATAGTTCGGCAGATAAAAGCTGAAGATGAATGATTATCCGGTGCTGGCAGACAGGGGAGTAGTTTCACAAAATGAGGTAGGGGTGGGCAGTAAGAAATGGCCTATCCTGCCCCAAAAATATGTCAACAAATGGTCTCTTCCCGGTTTACGCCCACTTCCTTCCCAAAGTTGGGAGGACTGAAGGCTGAAGTTGGGGGCTGAAACCCACAAACTTAAAAGGAAACTGCACCCCTTCTGGCAGGCCTTTCATCTCGCATACCCAAAATGGCCGTTAGAAAAGCTGTAGATGACAGCAGTGCTACCATTCATTTCTCCCTCGCTCGTAAAGTGCGAGTAGCAACGATGGCAAGGGTCACACAATCCTTACGAGACCTTGACTGGCCCCTAAAACTGCCCAGAGTTACCGTAGCTGCTCCAGTCCCCATCGCCGGGTCAGTCACGATCCATTCCGCATGGCTCGCAGTTCCCAATGACGTCATATAATCACGGTGCTATCCCAAGTCAACATCACGCATTCACAGCTTTGTGCCGACCACCCAATGTCTGACGCTACGGCCCCTCCCCAACCGCGTCAACCGGCCAAGCTCCAGCCCGTGTCCGACACGGTCCGGTCCGGCCCAGCCAGGTCACTCCAGCCCCGAAGGTGCCGCTGCCGCCGGGTCGCTCCATCCGCAGCCCACCTGACACCGAGCCCGCCGACGACGGCTGGCCGGCGGGAGGTGGCCTAATTCGCGGACGTGCCTGACGCAGCCGGGCAGGCGTCGCGACTCGTGACGAGACGCCAGAGATGCCGGCGTCGGCGGTGGACCAGTGACGGCGGCGGATCCAGTCACGGCCACGGTCACGACCACGGTCACCGGGCCGGTGAAGGAGTGTCGACGGTGGACCAGTGACGGCGGCGGATCCAGTCACGGTCACGGCCACGGTCACCGGGACGGTGAAGGAGCGTCGACGGTGGACCAGCGACGGCGGCGGATCCAGTCACGGCCACGACCACGGTCACCGGACCGGCGAAGGGGCGTCGCGCCGTCATCGGCCCGGGAGGGGTCACCGATTCTCCGAGAGTTCAGGGTCGCGGTGTGAGCTGCTGCATGCGCGCTCGTGACCACTGAGCATCGACCAAACCATTGAGGGTAGGGCATCATGACACGCCAATTGTTTGTGGATCTTGTAGACATCGCACGCCAGACTTGGGTCGGGGATGAGATCAGCGCGGGGTATTTCCAACGTCCTTTGGTACCTGCGCAGCGTTTCAAGGTTTACGACATCCGCAGCATTGGCGAGGAGTTGTTGGGGTGGAGATGACGGTCTGCGAGATCATACACGGCTTCCGTGCCGCCAGTCTCTGACCCCACTATTTGAGGTCCTGCACTGTCTCCGCGGCCCCTGGAGCCAAAGCCCACCCTGGTTTTGTAACGACAGGATGTTGATGACGGCGTGATGTTCGCTTTGTTGAACAGCCTAAAGCCGCTTACCTATTTCGCTTCCAATAAATGTGCGCCAAAAGCGGGAGCGTGGTTTTCTACGGCTACATCTTTGTGGGCGCCAGTCACACATAAAGCTGGACTGAATACACACAATGGGCTCTCCTGTGCCCATCAAAGAACAGCATCGATCCTGCCCATCTTCTAACCGGTGGTGGGACCAGTTATCCAGCTTCGGCACGTGGAGGGACCAGTTACCCCGCTTCTGACCCGTGGAGGGACCAGTCGCCCTGCTTCTAGTCCGCGGAGGGATCAGTTACCCTGCTTCTAACCCGTGGAGGGATCAGTCATCCTGCTTCTGACCCGTGAAGGGACCAGCTACCCAGCTTCTGACCCGCGGAGGGGCCGGCTACCCCGCTCCTGACCCCTACATGCATCACCATCACCATGTCCAGGGCCCCATACCACGTCCGTGAGCCAAATAGCCAGACTCAGGCATGCCGGACGCTCGGTGATGCGGTCTGACCCATATCCGCTTATATGGCTCCACCTTTTGAACGTTTAAATGGCTTCATGCCAGACCTAGGCGCGGGTCACTGCAGGGATTGTCCATAACATAACCTGAGGAGTTCGCGGCTGTGGTACTGTCAGGGGCCCTGTATTGTGATGCCGAGACGCGGAAACAGATGACACACAACACAATATGCGTCAGCGATATCATAGTCACTGAGTTGTCAGGACAACGTGCGCACAGCAGGTGGTGGTAGGCACATGTACGCACGCAGATTTTCGTGAGCGTAGATGCTGTCAGACGCATATATACGTACTGCAATTATTCGCAACGCAGATGACAGTTAACATGAATGTTCGTATTCACATATGTATGCACAGCAGTTTAGCAAATGTCCGTAGTGCAAGTTTTCGTGCTGTTTTTGTTTGTTGATGCTAATGCACGTTTTACAATCGTTCAAATTGCAAATGTTCCCAAACACTGATGTCAGTAAGATAATTTTTATAGACGCAGTTAGCATCATGCCTTAAGGAAAAATGCTTCATTACCAATGATAAAGCTCGAAATGCGGAATATAACCTTTTGCACGAGCTGAGACTGCAGTAACATCAAGTTTAGGGGAGCGTTACTTAAAGTCGTGGATCGTCATGAATATAAGCCCGTTGTGCGAGCGAATTTCACGGAAATCCGTGCAACCATTTATAGTGTAGCTGGCAAAAGTTATGTTGTGTGTGCATACAAAATTGTGCGCACACACACACACACAGGCAGCCGTGTGCCCTTAATTTAATCGTTTAGATTTGCCATCACCAGAGCCTTCCCAGGCCGAGCCAATCTGACCCACTCGCACGCCAAATGACGTCACAAAACCTTGGACACGTACGATTTCCCTCGTGTTCTCATAAACACACAACGGCATGTCATGCTTACACTGGTTAGTATCCATACGCCCTGAAGTTAACTGATTTTTATTTTTATTTTGATCCATTTATTTCTCTGTTCGCATTGTGGTGAATACCACATAAACGTTTACATGCATCAACATTGGTGGTAACATGTGCGATACCAAGACTAGCTCTTAGAAATATCTGGGCTACAGGCATATGCATCTACGATAAGTTGTGATACCAACATCTACAGTTGCGAGCATTTGCAATTACGAACGTGTGCCATACGAACATCTACGCACATGCGCATCAGCCTTTACGAACATCTGCGACATGAGCATTTGCGCATACGAACATCTGCGGCATAAGCATCTGTGGTGTCAACATTAGCTCGTGCGGGCAATAATGTTTGCGAACATCTTTGTCACGAGCATTCGCCATTACGACCATATGCGTGAGAATATTTGCGAACGCTTAGTAGCGATGCATGCGGTTGCCTTCAGTACTTTTGACATGCCATCAGACCGAAATGACTTTTTCCGATGGGCGTTGCTAGCTCTGCTGCTCGGTGGCTGGGAGGAGCATCGGTCGTTTCACGCTTTGGTCTGCTTTGATTCTAACACAACTGTTCGATTTTTTGACCGACCACGACCCACCATCATTACAGAATTATCCAAGTCGATGAGGCTTTTGGAAAGCAGAACTGCCCACTTCGGAAAATTAACTGGCTGTAGCTCTGCAAAACATCGGTAAACTTGAAAACAAAACATGGGTACACGTAAGTCCGGCCAACACCGTTAAATCATCCTTAATTCATCCGACTCACCGGGACTTGTACCAACAGAGTCCCAGATTAAACTTACGTGCCAATGTCCTCAAACACGTCATAGAAGGCCTCAAACGGCTCTGTCCGGAACTCCATGCCTGGTGGCGGCCGCCGTCCACCGGCACCCCCCTCGCACAGTTCACTGCCGCGCCGCTGGTAGGCTGCCGGCCCGCCGCCTCCCGCAGCGTCCGAGAGCTGCCGCGCGCCGCCCGGCTGGGGCCTGCAATTCGCGCGCCGCCTGACCCCGTCAGCTGACTACTACATTCCGCCCAGCAGCGGCGCGTCGGCCAATGCACGGCCGCTCATGGGCCGTGACGTCATCCACCCGACGGTGGCGTCGCCTGTCGCAGATGCAGCGCTGCCTGGACTAGTGGTTGTCGGTGCTGACAATAGATGGCTGCAATGCCTCTACGAATCCTGGGAAAGGTATGCGACGGTTTTGCCGCGACAGCCAAGGCTAACAACCCCTGTCTGTCATACCGCCCGATTAGCTAATCAGCTGCCTTCTGCTGTGTGACGCCAGCGAACAACGAGCAGATGGAAGTGAATTCCCTTTGTGGTGCGCGTTTGGATTTAGCGGCACGCCTACGAAAACTTATGTGCTCATGCGGTTGTCAGCGCCGAATTGTATGGTTCAACACTTCTGAATTATTCAGATCTTAAGAGGATTATCTAAAAAAGAATATATTGTTCACCTTTCTGAAAGTACAACTCCCCGCGGAGTTTGCACTCACGCTCTGTACAACGCTCCAAACTGTTTATGAACCGGCTACGCACCTGTTCAAACCGTCCGGCCGCACCAGGCCTGCCGAACAGCCACATTCATATACATAATTGACACATGTACACGTGCCGTGAGGTCATGGCCCTGAATCACCTCTGCAGCCTCGTCGCAGGCCGTCGATATCGACCCGGCGACGCTGTATTATTCACCAGTCCGCTTGGATTAGGCGGCGGCGGCGGCGGCGGCGGCGGCGGCGGGCCCGCATCCCCATCCGGCCCGGCTCCGCGAGCCCGACCACGCCCCGGCGTAACACGAGCGGGCGGACGACGCCTGGGCCCGTCCGTAATCCGGGGCCAGACACCGCCCGCTGGCCGTCACTCTTCGAGCTCACCAAAAACAGCTCCGTGCAGCTGCACAGGAGGCGGATTGGCGCAGGCAGGAGCGATCCACTCAGCTGGAAGGGCGGTGACTGGCGCAGGCAGAGACAATTCACTCGAGATCGACACTCACGGACGGGCGCGTCTGTGATGACATGGGCCCCAGCGCACAGAAACGCCCGTGATCAGCCCTGGCTTGCGGCAGTGGTTCCACCTATGATTAGGGTGAATCGTTTCCACCCTACTAATTTCTGAACCCCATAAACTTTGAATAAACTGAACCCCATAAACATAAACGCCGAGGACACTGCATTTTCCAATATTAGAAGCTTGTCGTCACTGGGACTTATAATGCACTCAGTTGATAAGGTTCCATGGCCTCCCTGTTCTCCCCTTGCAGGAGAGGGGTGTACCACCGGAATACACCTAACCCTTCCAGGAGCAGAGGATACCACGGGGATACCCCTCATCCCTGCAGGAGGGACAGACAATCCGGGGAAACTTTTCACCCCAGCAGGAGGGGCGGACACCACGGGGACACTCTTCACCCGTGCGGGAGGGACGGACACCTAAGAGATACACCTCACCCCTGCAGAAAGGGCGGATCCCACCGGATACACCTCACCCCTGCAGGAGGGGCGGACAAAGCGGGGTAGACCTCGTGCCTCGAGTTTCCCAGACGCGCAGCTTATTCACCGCCAGAAACTCGTGACAATGCAGAGTTCCTAATAACAGCACACCTTGACAGGGGTATGTTCCCAGGATGAAGTGACGGAGCCAGGTGTTGCTCGCCCAGATGATTAGCGTGAGACCGATGCTACTCCACTTTACCGATGCCACAGCAGGCCGAGTTACAGGGGCGACAAACCTCAAATGACATCTGGAGAGTCGGAGCGAGCCTTCTCCAGTGTTGATGAGACCCTGGTTTTCACGCCAGACACCGTACCTTATTTCCCGCCTGTGGGGCGACAGGGAGCTTGCCAAGTCACAGGTACGTGATGCGCGGTATGCTCATCCCGGGCGCTGACATACACCTCCCCTTCTGCGCGTTCGAGCGGCACATTCGCCTCTTGTTCACATATTGTTGTTCACATGTTCACATTCGCCTCTTGTTTGTGGCGGATTTCACGGCAAAGCGCGAAGCTCTGTAAACCTCAATTTTTTAGGTAACCGAGAACCAGGCTGGAGAAATCGGCACGTCTCGAGCCAAGCATTAACGCACGAGACGGATACGAGTGCGACCGGCCCGACGCATGAATACGAGCCACTGGGTTGAGATGTTGACGACACAGCCTCCAGCGAGGCGATGCGTCTGTCCCGTACAGACACAGAGCCCAAACATAACGTGGAGAGTGGAAACAAACGTCCACGTCTGTCGAAATCAACCACCGTTCACGGGTATGGACTTTGAGTACAAGGCGAAACAGTTGTGGGATAACGGTAAGATTCTCCGCTGATGGTTTATGAAAAGTCAACATCTGGCTAAAAACCCGCTTGTTCCATACCATGTCTTATACGGCATTCGACGGCAAACCATGATCGATGATAAAAGGCAAGCAGCAGAATCGCAGACGCACTTTATTCATAATTAAATAAAATCACTGTCGTGTCTAGGAGTACGTACAAATACAATGGCACACCGCAGTGGAGACAACAATCAGTAACATCGGCCACCTCGGGGGACGTAAAAATGCTTACTGGAACCACACAGGAGAGAAACGAACGAAATCACAGCTACCCGAAGGGCGGGCAGGCAGGCGGCGGCACGTGCTGTCGGCCCTAGCCCGAGCCGGCCGGCCGGCCTCCGGCGCCCCGCCCTGCCCCAGTGCTCCGCGTCTTGTTCCACAACCTGAACCGCCCGCCGCGGGGCCTCAGTCTCGCCAACCCGCGCCACTCCGCGCCCGGCCAGTGTCCGCGGCCGTCTGGGGCGCGGCAGCGCCAGCGTCCCCGCTCACGACTCGGCGGTGGAGCTGAGGCCCCGGCTGTCAGGCACCTCGGCGCAGCGCCGGCGCCAGCGCCAGCTCCCCGATCGGTCCTGGCCTCTACCTGTCGCCTCTCGCCGGCCGCGCGGCACAGTATCTACAGACGAGCGCGCTGTTTCGCCGGCGCGTCGCCTGCCTCACTCTTCTCACTCCCTCGCTCTCGCTCTCTCACTGGCCGTCCGTCTGGCCGCCCGTCGTTCACTGGTCAGCTCGCGCGCGCGCATGCGCGTGGCGGCGGTTCACTCCGGGTCGGCGGCGGCCGGCAGCAGGCCGACCCGAGCGCCGCCGCCGCGCCGCCGCCACGCCAGCAGCGGTCACTTCTGGCCACGCGCCTTCTTTCTCCGGCGCTTGAAGAAGCAGCAGCACCTGCCACAGCAAGGAGGCAGGGTGAGCGTGAGGCACATGTCAGAGTGGGGAGCAGCGCACATCAAATCGACGGCGGCTGATCTGGTTATGCTGTCTGCCAAGACTGTAAGCCGCTCAGTCTGATGTCAAACTGTCCTGGACCGCCAAAAGCACACTCAGGCGGCAGAGCTACGGTAACCACCCCAAACACCAGCGCTACGCAGGAGCCCTCGGCGTCGGCGCTGACCCCAAGCCAGCCGAGTCAGCCCCACGGCCCCGTCGCGGCTCACACGCACTTGGTCTCGTCCACCACGTCGACGTCCGGCTGGGCGGTGATGGGCGTGATGCTCTGGCCGGCGGTGGGGTCGTCCGGCCCCAGCTCACCGTTGGTGGAGCTCATCACCTGCCGGGGCAAGGCCGGTTAGCTCAAATCAGGTCAGGCCACCGAAGCGAGACCCGACGCGTAGGGGCTCGGACGCCCAGCCTCAAGACTCTAGCGCTGAAAGGAGCGGCGTACGACCAGATCAGGGCGCATACACCAGGCGGTACCTGCTTCTGAGTCGCCGAGCCGGGTCATCACGCGCCCGATCAGTCCCCGGGCACACAGCCGCCGACAGCGCCCTCTCCCAGCCCCGCAGCGCACAACGCTGACAGACACGCAGACGAACACGAGTGCTGAAGCGGCCAGCAGTGCACGCGACAGCACGGGCGGCGGCGGCGGCGGCGGCGCGACGGACTCGCCTGCACAGAGCCGTGCCGATCGACCGGCGCCAGTGAGCTGCCCAGCGTGGTGTTGGCCGTGCGCTGGCCTTCCGGCCATGCGGGCGTCTTGCTCCCCTGCAAGGTGACGCGTGCGGTGAGCGGCGCAGCGCAGCGCCGCCAGCTCTGGTCAGCAGACAGCCAGCAGACATGCGCCGCCTCCTCCGGCAGTGCGGCCATACGCATAGCTCCCCCGGAACGCGCGTGTGCACGCGCGTACACACACATACACACACACACACACGCACACACACACGCACAGACAGGCGCACAGACAGACAAGCAGCAAGCCGTGTGCCGGCGGCGGCCCGGCTCCGCCCAACGGAGCGCCGTCCACACTCGGCGGGGGGCGGGTGGCGGCGCACGCTACCTTGTTGGTGATGGGGCTGGGCGGGAGGCCGGTAGCGGCGGACGCTACCTTGGTGGTGGTGGGGCTCGGCGGGGGGCCGGTGGCGGCGGACGCTACCTTGTTGGTGGTGGGGCTCGGCGGGGGCCGGCGGCGGCGGACGCTACCTTGCTGGTGGTGGGGCTGGGCGGCAGGCGGGTGGCGGCGCACGCTACCTTGTTGGCGGTGGGGTTCGGCGGGGGCCGGTGGCGGCGGACGCTACCTTGGTGGTGGGGCTCGGCGGGAGGCCGGCGGAGGAGGACGCTACTTTGGTGGTGGTGGGGTTCGGCGGCAGGCCGGTGGCGGCGGACGCTACCTTGTTGGTGGTGGGGCTCGGCGGGGGGCCGGTGACGGCGGACGCTACCTTGGTGGTGGTGGGGCTCGGCGGGGGGCCGGTGGCGGCGGACGCTACCTTGGTGGTGGTAGGGCTCGGCGGGGGGCCGGTGGCGGCGGACGCTACCTTGTCGGTGGTGGGGCTCGGCGGGGGGCCGGTGGCGGCGGACGCTACCTTGTTGGTGGTGGGGCTCGGCGGGGGCCGGTGGCGGCGGACGCTACCTTGTCGGTGGTGGGGCTCGGCGGGAGGCCGGTGACGGCGGACGCTACCTTGTTGGTGGTGGGGTGGCGCTCCCGGTTGGGCGACACGATCACCTCGGTGGCTGTCTGCAGCGAGCCGACCGGCGTCGACTGGGGGCACAGCGGCACGCGCCGTCAGGGTCGGTCAGCGGCGGCACCGCGCACGCGACGCGCCCGACAGTCGTGGACACGCACGGACAGGAGACGCGACGCCGGACGACCTTCACCCACCGAGCGCACAACGGAGCCGGCATACACACACTGATAAGCCGACAGGCGCACCAATACGCCGGCTAAAATGGCAATAGCGGGGACTAGTGTTACTGGGGAAAACGACGAGCGCCGTACAGGGACTAGATCAAGAACTAGGGGAACGCCACGAAGTTGGTGAGCGAAGGACTGCTTTCTTGCAACAGAAGCAGGTAGGGGTGCACTTCTAAGACCAGCCATTCTGGGCACGTGATTAAATCTCCCGTTCCCAAATGTGGTCAGTCCGATGCCCTGCAGCCTTTCCTTCCCTAAGCCAAACACATCCCGGTTAGCAGGTCCACAGCAAAGCCATGAGTGAAAGGAAGATACAAGGTTGAAATAATATGCTTGTATTACATTTGGGCGGCAAATCTGGCAATGAAGGCCACGGAGAACGATTGCTATGAATCCTTGTCAATAAAGCTGTACTATTTCATTAACCAGAGGCGCGCGTGCGCGTCTGTCACCTGATGACGGGACGGCGGACCGATGGCAGGAGCGGAGGAGGAGGAGGAGAAGAAGGAGGAGGGGAGGGAGGGAGGCGGTGCACGGTGACCCGTCAGTCAGTCGCGTCAGGCGGTGTAGGGAGCGCAGGCCAGCGCAGGGCGGGAGGCCGTTCACTCCTACATGCTAAGGCAAGGCACAGAGACGGCGCAACTTTCGAGCCTAGAACGAGACAGACAGCAGGTGGTGAGAGGCGCCGCTGCGCCGCCGCCGGCCGGCTGCAGAGGGCGCTCCCGGGCCGCAGACCGGCTCTCCTCTCCTACAGGGACCGCCGCTACCCACTGACCTTCATCGAACTAGTCTTAACAACGTCCGAGGGAGGCGCGTACTTGAGGACCTTCATGTTCTCCAGAACGTCCTCACGCTGCTCGGGAAGGACGGCGACGGCGTGAGGACGGGTCCGCATGGCTCAGAGTAACCCGCCCGGCGAGGTCCGCGCGGAACGCAGCGTGCACCCCGGCACAGCCCCGACATCAGCAGAGACCCTTCCGCGCCGCCGACCCAGCCGTACTTCCCGGCGGTACCGGACCCCCCCCCCCCCCCCCCCCAGGACTTGCGCGCAAATCAGCCCCTCCCGAAAGAAGGCAGATCGCTGACTGAAAACCGTCAGATATCGGCACCGACAACACCACAGATGTTCATGCAGATGCGCCGCCGCTTATGGTGACGGGCTGCATCTAACTTTCGTTACCAACGGTGAGAAATACCGTCCGACAGGTGAACGGTTTCGCGCCGTGCAACATGTCAGCGCTTCCTTTCGGATTCAACCCTTGCCGGACGACAGGTCCACAGGCCCACTAGTTCTTGAAAGCTTAACAGGTTACAGACACGGGCCCCGCGGCATCGAATGGCTCGCGAGCGGCACTGACCACTCGCGTAGGCGCTCTTTGACGCTTCAAACGGGATCAGCGTGCTAAAGATTGTGAGCTCAGACTCCTTTTAAGCGTTCTGGGTCGCACGCTGTGAAGGGCTTGGTAAGGAAGTGTTGTATAGCCCTTCATAGACAATCGTATCCAGATGGGCTTCACGCCATGCATGAAATTTGGGTGTTTCCCTGTGCTTTCAGATACGACAGCTTACGGTCTCGTAGAATCCGCATGGGAAAGAAGGCGATGCTTTTACTCAGAACCTGTCACGAAAAGCTTGAGGCATCGAAATGATGAGATCATAGAATGGCTGACGTTGAATACCTTTGATAATCAACACTGCAACATTCCACGCATCCTATTCTCGCATGAACTCAGGGGCGAGGTAGTACCTCGCATGACCTATCATGGAAAGACGTTCACGCATGGCGCGGAAATCCTTACTTGGTGTTAAAATCAGCTACGAGCAAAACATTGAACATGACACAATTAGCGGGTAAGACTTGTAACACAAAATAACATTTATGAGCCTCCGAGGTCCACCGTCCAGTGGGGGCAAGAGTCTGACACGGAACTTGTGAACAAATGAACGATACAACGTTAAAATCTTGCCGAAATAAGTAGCATTGCATATATAAATACGTCCATATACATACATATATATATATATGTGTATATATATATACATATATATATATACATGCATATATATATGCATATATATATATATATATATATAACGCTGAAGTGCATAACAGTGATTACAAATATATTCGGGGGGGGGGGGGGTCGCAATGGCAACGTCTTTGAGACGGATCAGACTCCCGACGGAAAAGCGACAGACTCTAATGCGCTCCGCGTCATCATTCCGACTGCACATCTGCACACAAAGAGCTCATCAGCCGGGTTCAAACGGCATCTCCCTTTGGCCCATTCACCCATCGTCGGTGACGGGAAGGAACGAATTATTCACAAGACGTCGGCCACTATGCGTGTGGACAGAGACTTCGTACTGTTCTAAATGTGTCAACCTGATGCGGCCACCTCAAACTGACATTTAATTCGTAAAGAGATTATGTACGCAGCTCTGCTTGTCTGGATAGTAAGATGAATAAGAACAGTGAAAATGTGAATGAAAAATCAAACAAAAAGTGAATAGTATAAATACGCATGTTCCCTGAACGTACTTCAACGGCACGTAACCAGAACTATTCGTTCCACTCAACTGAAAAATAACTATCCTGGGAAAAGCACGTGATCATAACTATTCCCTCATTCAAGTGAAAAAACAACCATCCTGACACAGCGAGGCAGAATATGCCTCTTCAACCTCCGTCACACCCGACCCGACCCGACCTGACCCGACCCGACCCGACCCGACCCGACCCGACCCGACCCGATCCGATCCGATCCGATCCGATCCGATCCCGACCCCGACCCCGACCCGACCCGACCCGATCCGACCCGACCCGACCCGACCCGACCCGACCCGACCCGACCCGCTCACCATAGTGCGTCCCGTCCAGTCGAACTCGCCGTCGTCCACGTAACCTTTGCGCTCGAACAGGTCCTGGAACTGCTTACGCAGATGGTCGTAATCGGGCGTCTCGAAGAAGTCGAGGCGGCGCACGTAGCGCAAGTAGGCGGCCATCTCCTCTGTCGGGGGAGGGAGGAAGGTCAGATCACGGCGCAGGTGGGCAGCGATCTGCTCTGCCCGGGGGAGGGAGGGAGGGGGGGGGGGGGGTCACATCGCGGCGCAGGTGGGCGGCCACCTCCTCTGCCAGGGGGAGGCAGGGTCAGATCCGCGGGGATCAGACCGCGGCGCGGCGCACGGACGAGGGGGGGGGGGGGCGGGGTGTCGCTCTAGTCAGGTTGACCCGCAGACAACACAGCGAGGGGGCAAACTCCAAGGCGAGGGGAATAGTAGGGCCACAGGAAGACGGTGACGCTGGCAGGACGGTTGCGGGGACAGGCAGCACGGAGGCGTGATCACAGGTCACCGCGGATGGAAGGTAAGCAAACTGGCTCAGCGAGGCGCCGCCGCCACGGCCGTCCATTCACTGCACACCAGCCCCGAGGGCAAAGCCACCAGCATAAGCCGCGCGTGCCCATCCCCGAGGGCAAGGTCATCGCCCCGGCTGCGGTCGGATCCGATTGATCGACCGATAAAGGAGCGCGGCGCCAGCCGTGCCGGCCCGGAAGCTTGTTTAAAGTAGATAATGGCCGGGCCGACCTTTAGAGCTTTGGAGCCGACCAGCCAAATATGTCTGTCGGATATCCGGCCACACCACAGAAGCCAAACAGACGCCGCCCTAGGGATCACACTCGCACCGCCAGGGAGGCGGAGTCAGCTGTGTTGGTGTGGCCATATGGACCAAAAAGCTTCATCTTGGCTGCTGCCACATGGAAAACGTGAACATGCCGCCACGCAAGCCACCGTTCCCGAGAGGTACTCGTCAGTTACCTTGACCTGCGACATCCGAACACCAACCGTCGCTGCACAGCAACTCAGCAGCGACGTTCCGGGGACCTATCGGTGAACAACCCCAACAGGACACTGACGCCATTAGCGCACGTATGGCATCATCGGCGACTACCAAGTCCCAGCCAGCCGACGCACCAACATCGGGAGCCATCGTTGCAGCAGCGGTTTGCCGCCCTGATGACGAGCTCAGCGCTGGCGGACGGCGCCCGTTCGGAGCGCGGCCGCCGCCGTCCCGCCCCGCGGGCTCCGGCCAGCGGAACACGGCCGACGAGACCGCACCAGCCGCGGCGGCCGGTCATGAGGAGCCGTCGTGTCCGGAGCCAGCCGTCCGCCGCTCGCCCCAGCCAACCATGACGCAGATTGTGCCAGTTTAGATGGCACGGAGCATACATTCGACAGAGGAGCCCAGAATGCCCGAAACAATGGCAAGCAAAGTCGCGATCGACTTTACCTTCTCGCGGGAGGTGAAGGCTTCACGAGAAGCTGTGGAAGCGCGCCGAGTTGTAGCACTACACGCGTAAATACCTGCACTGCACTGGTTGTTCCACAACATTTTAATATTCCCATTAAATTATTCGAAAACCAGGGTGAGCCAATGCATGATGCAAGCCACCTTTTATCTCAAATGGTGGCACCTCCTGCTGCAGTTTGTTATTCCCTATCCGCTATCCCTTTCCGTTATCCATAATCTGCGCTATCTACGCGCCCCTTATCAAATACTACGGGGACGCTGCACATGCACTGCCTGTGGGCATCCGCGTCTTACATAAGCACGCCGGTGGCAACATTTGCCCCGATCGCGGGAGCTCCCCGTCCCCCCGTCTCTGTCTCCACCACAGGCTGCCGGGGCGCCGTGGCGGCGACAGCGGCGGCGGTGACACGCTGGCAGCCGGCGGCGCAAGCCCCCTGGTCCGGCGTCGGGCCGCTGGTCGCCGGCCGCCATGCCCGCTCCGGGGGGCTATCTCGTGCAGGACAGCACGCGCTCCGGCCAGCGCCGTGTCGCCAGACTGGCAGCCAACGGGGCTGATCGGCGGCAGGACATCCTCAGCAGTCCCAGTCGTGATCCGTCCCAGGCATCACCGGCGGCGCTAGCGGCGGCGCCCCACCCTCAAGCTGGCGCGCGCTGGCGGCCCTCGCATCGCACGGGCGGCACACCGGGGCGAACCTCGTCAGACGTGACAGAACCAGCCCGCCTTAAGGCTTCCCAACCCACTCAACACACGACGGCACGCCAAAGGGACGGCTCTAACGGCCACAGCGCAGAGAAGCCGCGGCAATGCACGACCAATACGCACGGATGCTGACTGCAGAAATAGAAAGTCAGTCAGCGCCGGTCCCGTCAGCTAATTCCGGCTCTACATGGACGCGATGCACCTAGAGGAAAGCACAGCTGTACCTCTGGGGCCATGCAGAGCGTGGCCCTTCGGTTCCCCGGGGGCCAGGACGGCACGTGCACTGCCGAGCTGCCAGCTGTGCACGCTGCTCACGCCACTGCTGGCGTGGCGCACTGGCGGCCAGGGTGGCGCACCATCAATACGTCGACATGATGACCGATGGCCATGCGAACGCCCGAATACGAACGCGCGGCACGGGGCGGTCGAACGTCCTGTGGCTACCCCCCCCCCCCCCCGTCCTCATTCACGCGCCTCACACCACTGGCACGGACAGGCCCGCCAGCTGGAGACGGCGCTCGGCGCCGCCCCACTCGCACTGTCCGGACCGACGCTCGGCCGAGCCGCCACTCCTCCATGATATCGTCTACCGGCCGGCTCACAGCCGTGCCAGCTGCGCCACGCAGCTCCACGACACAACAAAAACGAGTAGGCCAGTGCGAGTGACGGTCGTGCGCCACCCACCGCGTACCAGCCACGCGCACGGCACCTCGCCGGTCAGGCGGGGCCGCGTGACCGGGCGGCGGCGGCGGTGACGCGTCAGCGTGTCACGCACACGTCAATACGCGAGCACGGCCGCACCGCCGGCCGGCCGGCCGCTGGCCGCCGCCGAAAGCTCGATACGCGGCCGCCGGGCCCAGCTCGGGCACCGGCCTCAAACGGAAAGACGCGGAGGGGAGGCGTGCTCCCCCGGCGCCGGTGGGTGGCCAGGACAGGACGGGGGGCAGCGTCACGCCGGCCGCGCGGCATCCTGATCAGGCGAGTTGGCACCAAACCCGGTTTCTGAATACAGTCTGAGGCTCAGCACACTGAGCCCCAGGGGCGGCGCAGAATGGGGGGGGGGAGGGGGCAGTCCCCCCCCCCCCCGGGGCAAGAGTACGGTTTTCCCCTCAAAGGTTTTGAGAGGCTGCTTGTTCCCAAACAAAAGGCATTGCAGCTGCCGCAGATTGCCAATGCTCAGATCGAGGCCTCCATGACCAAGCAGGAGAGTAATAATCGGACTCAAAAGACTCTGTTATGTCAAGAGGCCCATTTCTGTATCATGATCTACCTTTATGGATAAGGTAGACCATCCTTTAGATTGGTGCACCTGGTGTGATCTTAAGGAAGCCCATTTGCTGGCTACGGTGGCCATCGTTGCAAACTAGGAGGCCGCTGTTCCGGGTTAGGAGACACTTTCAACATTAAGGAGGCCCCATTACTGGAACAGGAGGCCCCGGTCATGCATTAGATGGCCGCAGTTCCATATCGAGATGCCTGTTTTGGAATAACGCGCGCCCCTCGCTGGACTTGGAGGCCCCTTCATGAAAAAGCACCTTTTGGGGGTCCTGTCTGCATCAGGAGACCCTTTTCTGGAACAAGCCCCGTTGAAGAAAAGCGAGGCCCTTTGCTGGATAATCAGAAGGCCCTCATTCTGGATATTACATGGATGTGATGCACGCTGATGCACGCAACCATTTGATAAGGGGCATACACCGTCGGTTCATCTAGCTCTTAAATGCGACATCGCCCAGGAGCTCCCCCCCCCCCCCCTCCTCCTCCTCCCCGCCCCCGGTGAATAGACTCCATTTAGTCCAGGGGACCCCCTGGAACATCCTGTCTCCAACCCGAAATAAATGGAGCCGCCCCTGTTTAAGCCATGAACAAGAGGGGAAACCCTTGGGCTACCTCACTTAACTCACCAGACCTCAGCCACGAGCTGCCACCCGAGTATCGTCACATGATCTATATCATGTCAGCCATGAGCCGAGGCTCCCACCAGAGCATCGTCACGTGATCTATCTCATGTCACCCCTGAACCGGAGGCTGCCACCCGAGCATCGTCACGTGATCTATCTCATGTCAGCCATGAACCGGAGGCTGCCACCAGAGCATCGTCACGTGATCTCTCTCATGTCACCCCTGAACCGGAGGCTGCTGACCACAATCATCACCTTTGTGGCTTCGCCCGCCATCACGTTACGGGTGCGGAGATATCGGCAGACTGATTTGCACGGAAGGAATTCATCTCTATTGTTTACCGATTTTGCAGAGCCCAACCGAGGCCACCTCCTCACCAGGACAGATTTGTAGGCGCCCTCGTGAGCAAGTCGTCCCTAAACTCCCCTTTTCACCGAGCCTCCGCCCCCGCGAGCCGCCCGACCCGGGTCGTGATAGCGGTGGAGGTCCAGTCGGAGCAGCCTGCCTCTAACCTGGGTAGTTTTCGCAGAGGACCTCGACGGGCGTGGCGCGCTTGGTGTCGCCGATCTTCTGGTACCGCTCCTTGAGTGTCTCGGCCTGCAGGCCCTGCCAGGGCAGGCTGCCGCGCAGGAAGTACATGAACATGTGACCCAGCGCCTCCAGGTCATCCCTCCGGCTTTGCTCTGAAACACAGGCCGTGGGTGCGTGTCACAGGTCATCAAACGACGTAATACAGTGCCACAAACCGGCAACCGCAGATGCGGCGCTGCGCAGCGTCAGAGGACCAACGCTTCGACTTCGTCATCATATGCACGTGAAAAGTTCAGCCGGGGACAAATTCGCCCTGAAACCATGCGTGGACAAAAAGAGAAGAGCACAGGCCTATTCATGCCTTCTGCGGATACGTTCGAGAACAATGATGGGCCACGTTACGGTGGCGTTCAAACAAAACCTAGCACGAGGTACGCTCCGGAAGGAAAGTATTCACACCGTCACTGCCACTGCGCACGACCACCAGAACCCAAAGAATTTAGCTTCAACAACACTGCGTATGCTCTCAAGCCTTGTATCCACAAAGTCCGTTTTCCAAAGTGGCATCCCTGCCGTTTTCCTTTGCTCTTGCTTTATGAACCGAGAAGCAGAGCGGACACCACGGTTTTGCCGTCGCCAAACAAGCACAACAGGATGACCGCGTGCACCACAAAAACACACCACCGGTCTACCGGGGCGGAACACCCCGGCGGCCAGCGCCGGATGAATCCGCAGAGCCGTGTCCTGCAGGCCTGTCCCCGCTGCCGGTGGGGGCCGCACGGGGCGCGACGCTGGTGACTGGGGCCAGCGCACGACCATGGGGCTCATATCGCCTCCCACGGCGTCACCCCGCTGCCGGTGGGGGCCGGGCGGAGCGCGACGCTGGTGACTGGGGCCAGCGCGCGACCGTGGGGCTCATATCGTCTCTCACGGCGTCACTCTTCTGCCAGCGATGGCTCGTTTCACAGCCAATCTGGCCCTGGGGCGGCTTTGGCGGCCGCCTGCGCGCCAGAGCCGAGCCAACGCTACACTTCCGGGGACATGGCGGCGTCACCACGGAGAGTCGCCAGTGAGTCCACGCGCACACGGCCAGCTGACAATGCTCGACATCAGCGGCGGGGAGAGGGGCCGGGGCCGGGGCCGGGGCCGGGGCCGGGGCCGGGGCCGGGGCCGGGGCCGGGGCCGGGGCCGGGGCCGGGGCCGGGGCCGGGGCCGGAGCCCGGGGCCGGAGCCCGGGGCCGGGGCCGGAGCCCGAGCCCGGGCCTGGGCCCGGGTCCGAGCCCGAGCCCGAGCCCGAGCCCGAGCCCGAGCCCGAGCCCGAGTTGAGGCTAGATGAAACCCAGAGCCGGAGCCGGAGCCGGAGCCGGAGCCGGAGCCGGACCCGGACCCGGAAATGGACCGGAGCCGGGGCGCACACTTCCCCTCCACCCCGAGCAGATCGAAGGTCATCAGAGAGCGCGTGGTAACCGGACGTCCATACATGGCTCAATATACTTGCTCCAGGGACTCCCACAGACAATATCCGTCTTCCAATCGCTCTGTGGGGAATCCAGCAATCCCCAGACATGACCTACCTATACTAACACAGCTTGAGCACTGCAAGCCACGACGGTGATTGACGTGTTTCGAACGGATTGCTGAGCCGGCGCACAACCATCATCTGTTCAGATGGTGAAGCCAGTGAGTGAGTGAGTGAGTGAGTGAGTGAGTGAGTGAGTGAGTGAGTGAGTGAGTGAGTGAGTGAGTGAGTGAGTGAGTGAGTGAGTGAGTGAGTGAGTGAGTGAGTGAGTGAGTGAGTGAGTGAGTGGGTGGGTGAGTGAGTGGGTGAGTGAGTGAGTGAGTGAGTGAGTGAGTGAGTGAGTGAGTGAGTGAGTGAGTGAGTGAGTGAGTGAGTGAGTGAGTGAGCCAGTGATCTGCCCCATTCAAGATACCGCCACATCCGCCTGGACTGTCTGGACCAGTTGTAGCTGTAGATGGACTAGTTGTAGCTGAAGTTGGGCCGGTTGCAGCTGCAGCTGGACTATTTGTAGCTGTAGCTGGACCAGCTGCGCTACAGAACGTACAGACCACACAACCGATGCATCACTCCAGAATGAGTCGGCGGCGCCGCGGCGAGCACGGCCGCCTCCTGATTCGCGCGTCAATACGTCGGCGGCGGGCCGGCCGGCGCGATGGCCCGGCCGAGATCCATACCAGCTGGGCGGCAGGTAAGCCGGCCGCGCCGTCCGGTCGATGGCCGGGCCAGGCCAAGCCAAGCCGCGGCTGGCTCCCGGCGCGCTGGTCGCCTACCGTCAGAGTGCTCCGACACCTGACACCGGCGCCGGCTGCCCCAGGCGCGGCCGAGGACGGGTACCAGGCGCGGCCGAGGACAGGTCCCAGGCGCGGCCGAGGACAGGTCCCAGGCGCGGCGGGGTCAGGTCCCAGGCGCGGCCGAGGACGGGTCCCAGGCGCGGCCGAGGACGGGTCCCAGGCGCGGCCGAGGACAGGTCCCAGGCGCGGCCGAGGACAGGTCCCAGGCGCGGCCGAGGACAGGTCCCAGGCGCAGCGGAGGACGGATCCCAGGCGCGGCCGAGGACAGGTCCCAGGCGCGGCCGAGGACGGGTCCCAGGCGCGGCCGAGGACAGGTCCAGAGCGGCCTGCCGTCAGGCCGCTCTGGGTCCCGGCAGCACGGATCGCCGATTTCCTTCGACCCAGGTCATTAACTTTGCCCCACACCACCCAACAACACCCGTTCCGGGTCGTTTCGGCAGCTAAGACCATGCCTCGCTGTCGTCGGTTTCGCCGGCAGCCAGAACGTCCCACTCCAGCCCCCATCTCCGGAGCTATCAGGCAACCTCGGAATATAATCCCGACAGACCGCAGCAGACCGCGCTGACCTCTGACGTGGCGGCGCCGACCGGTGCACGGCAGCTCCGCAAGGACCGCGCGCCGCACCGACAACGTTCTCCGAGCAGGCCTCTCGCGCCGCGTCGGCAGTGTCCTCCGGGCGAGCCCGCCGCGCCGCGTCGGCAGCGTTCTCCGGGCGAGCCCGCTGCGCCGCGTCGGCAGCGTTCTCCGGGCGAGCCCGCCGCGCTGCGTCGGCAGTGTCCTCCGGGCGAGCCCGCCGCGCCGCGTCGGCAGTGTCCTCCGGGCGAGCCCGCCGCGCCGCGTCGGCAGTGTCCTCCGGGCGAGCCCGCCGCGCCGCACCGGCAGCGTTCTCCGGGCGAGCCTGCCGCGCCGCGCCGGTCGCCTCACCTTTGCCCAAGTGTGTGTTGATGCTCATGTAGCGGGCGGTGCCGGTCAGACTCTTGTTCTCCCGGTAGGGGATGTGGCGGTGGGTCTCCGGGTCTATGTACTCCTTGGCTAGGCCGAAATCTGCCGGGTGAGATGACGTGTCATTAAGTAAGCATGGGAAACGCCGAACAGTGGAAGACCTCACAATGCCGGACATTAGATTTCCCACGAAACGGAACAACGATGGAAAAACGCACGGCAAATCTCCTGCTTATCCAAGTTACATCTCACCAGTACATTCTCCAAGCTGCACACAAAAAGGCACCGCAGGGTTTAACACTGGCCACAAAGGCATGAATTACCTTTGCAGCCAAGGCACGTACTGCCGTTACTACAAACCTATAATGTGGATGACTTTGTCTTTTTTATTCGAAGTGCGGCCTATGAGGAAGTTCTCGGGCTTGACGTCCCTGTAGATTAGATGCTTCGAGTGTACGAATTCTATCCTATGCAGCTGAAACAACACAGTACGGCGTTAGGCAGGCATTCGGCTCTTCCGGAGACGCGAAGCACGTAAACGAGACGGACGTCGGTTAACTAACAAACTCGGCGTATTTCCAAATATCGAGCAACCGAATGAAGATATTTTTCAGAAAATCCGAGCGTGCTGGATACCTTGCTCGAAAATGGCGGTCATCTGTGCCTTGTAATGAGCTGCGGGCGGCATGGTTGGCCGGTGGCCGGCGCATGCCAGCCATTTCACGACTGTCTTCCGAACAATCGAACATGTGGTTAATTCACCCACATGCCCCAACTTGTAATGCAGTACGCCAGTTCAAACGGAGGTCACACTCGTTGGTCACACCTGGCACACCGAAATAACAAACGCAAATAAAACACGTGTCCTGACACCAGGCGACTGATGCCGTCCTGAAATAGGGAGCTCGGACAGCTCTCAGGCGATATGATCGCGACGGGTCCGTCCGTAAGTGACGAGCTTCACCAAAACAGCTGCACTCCTGGCGACGGGCCGGCACTCAGCAGGAGTGCGGCTAATCGCGCCTCCCCAGCACGGCGGACAAGGCGGCCACGCGCCGCCGTCACGTGACCGGCGCCAGCTGAGCCCTCACGCCCGAGTACGTCAGCGACTTGGCAACCCGACAAAGCAGCACGATACGGCCGTGGCGAGCGGCGAGCGAGGGCCGGCCGATTACCCAGAAGTGGCCCGGCACAGAGGCCGCCCCATGAGACGGCGCTCGTGGAGCCGGGGCCGCTCGGGCCGCGCCGCGCCGCACCGGGCCCGGCCGGCAGGGCACCAGCAATTCACAGCCGACGGCAGCGCTGGCTGACTGACCACAACTGGGACGAAGCTATGGGTGCCGCCGGCGCCGTCATCGCCGCCAAGCGTGCCCCGAACGGCAGACATCGGGCCTGGCATTGAGTCGGTGTGTGTTCGGGCCCCTGTGAGTCCACATTTGTCGTGCACCGTGCCAGTCGGTTAGGCTATGAACTAGAGGTGCTTCTTAAACGACCGGCTGTGGCAGCGGTCAGGGCCTGCATGTCTTGGGCAGCGCCTGCGCCCGGCGGTACGTGGGCGAGCACAACATGGCAGACAGTCCGCCTGCACGTTTGTTCTGAAGAATGATTATCCATAGCTGTGCTCATACTTTGCAGTAGTTCAACTCTTCTCAAGAGTTAGTGTTTTGCTAGAGTAGTGGCGGGAAAAGTCGGCTGCGACCTACCCAATGTGTACCTGAATGAGGGTGCAATATACAATGTACTGGTGGTTACAATTTGCCCTTGTATACCCGCTACCAATCGATGATCCCAATTACCCCAGTGTACAACTGTAACTAATGGGCCTTTACAAGATTTAACTCACCAACGGGCACGGATATCATTACAGATGGTGTTTGACATAATCTCGAGTGCACTTGAGCGTCCATGTGAGCACTGGACATCATCTGGCTATTGGTTATTTGGTTATTGGGATTGGATCCTTTCGACCAGCAATGAACATTTCAGTGCCATGAAATGAACGAAAACGAATGACGGTGAGGCAGGACTACACGCGCCTGGGACCCTACCGCCGAGACAACGCCCGCGCAGGGACCCCTCTGCGCGGTATGCGCTTGGCGCTCCGGTGAGGCAAGACTACACGCGCCAGGGACCTTACCGCCGAGACAACGCCCGCGCAGGGACCCCTCTGCGGGGTATGCGCTTGGCGCTCCGGTGAGGCAGGACTACACGCGCCTGGGACCCTACCGCCGAGACTATGCCCGCGCAGGGACCCCTCTGCGGGGTGTGCGCTTGGCGCTCGGACAGGTGCCCTACCAGGGGCCCTTCGGCCCCTCGTGGCTGACGCGTGCAGCCTGCCCCGGACAAGCGGGACGTTGCAAAGACGTAGGATTTAGCGAGAGAGTAGCGCGTGGAAAAGCGAAAAATGTAGTAAAAAGTGGAGTAGCAGTGGGCGGGTAGTACTGGATGCCATCCTCAACGCCCTCTGTCAGGGGTGTAGTTTTGAAAAATGTGTTAAAGTACCTAGTTAACAAAAATGACAAGGCCAGACCCCAAATACGCACACAAATAGGTTCCCTCCGGATCTCGCCCACTTCCTTCAGAAGGTTGGGGGCTGGTTTGGGGCTGCCTGGCCCCCACAGCTCAAGTGGGGTGGAGGAACCCCCCAAATTGAACAGGAAACTGCATCCCTGCCCTATATCGTAAGCATGATAATGTGGGTAGTTGTTGGTATGGGTCCTTTGTATCGAAAAAGATGCAGCTTTTTAAGGTTCTTCCATTCGCAAACCTTAATGGCATTATGTGAATCGATCGTAATGCGATGATAGGCATCGGGTAAACAGGAATGACAGGTGATAGGTGGATAAGGAGCACCTGCTATTCTAAATGAGCATTTGTTTTCACGCACGGCAATGCACTACCGTCACTGATACTTTGTTCTTTGGGATCAAAACAAAAACGACACTGCTTAGGCACAACCCGTCTGGACTTGGCTGCATTCTTTGTACAGCCGCGCTCACATTCCGGCGCAGCGTCGTACCTGCAGTCCCCGAGCACTTCAGCCCTACAATAGAGAACTTGAAGCGATTGTCGGGAACGGAGAATTTAACCTCCCGCATTCAGCAAAGCCAAGACCAACACCTACCACCGATTACCCAGAAAACACCGATGCGCTCTCAGCCACACTTAGCAGCCCGACGAGACCGACCATTACGTCCTTATGAACGGGAGCCGCCACACTACTCTGCCCCGGGTAGAGCAACAGAGCACCTCGCCAAACTCCACAACTCGGCCCGCTCCGAGCTGTGAGGTGAGTGGTTGACCCACAACCCCCGTGACCCCTCCGCCCTTCATAGTCGAGTCAAATCTGAGGCCCTCGCGTGGCGAATTCAGCCGGCGGTTAGCGGAGAGTTGGCCGAGGTTCCGACCGGACCTCATGACCTGGGTCTTGAACGGGCCGCCGGCCCAGGTCAGCGGTGTGGAGCGTGCGGCCGCCGCCGGCAGCAGACACCCCGGCCCGCCCTGAGTCCTCAGGACGGAGCGGGCTGTCACTTCCGCCCCGACCTGTCTGCACCAGTCATTCGTCGTCGCCCACCGGTCGTGATGACAGTCGGTCTTGCAGCAGCCTTGTCAGTGTCATTACGGCCGCCGTGTTCGTGTCATATTCGCCCTTCGTCCGTTGACACAGAACATACTCGCATGACGGGAAGACACACGGCACTTCATGCCCCCATGACTGGGCACAACGTAATTCACACCGTATGGCTGGGGACGACATACGATACTTCATGCCCCCATGACTGGGGACAACGTAATTCATACCGTATGGCTGGGGACGACGTACGATACTCATGCCCCCATGACTGGGGACGACGTAATTCATACCGTACAGCTGGGGACGACATACGGTTCATACCCGCATGGCTGGGGACGATGTAAGGAGCAATTAGGAATGGATGACTGGGCAATATGACACTGCGTTTAAACATTCCCAGGTGCAGTTCACTTCCGTGGCGCATCGTAAGAGTATTGTGTGGGTTTTTCACGCAAATGCCGGCGAATTACGTCTGTTTGGCTCACTTATCAGTCGTTGTGAAGAACAGCGCACCGCGCAGCACGCCTGCAAATGCTTAAGCAAACTACGCACGTACTTTTATGATTACAGGTAACTTCTACCGGCCACCACACACACATTGCTTCGACCGCAAGATGACAGCGCATAAAGTTACCACGTATGTAAAACAACAAATAGAGTGAAATACGTGCGGAACTTTGCACGCCCCGGACAATGCGTTTTTTTTTCACCCCGCGAGAGGAGTCAGTATGTACACCGTGAAGAGGCGTCGCCGTGCGGTCATGACCACCCCAGTCACGATCATTCCGTATTTCACTGGGCGAAGCAAACGGCAGAGGCCCACATTCGCTTGGGCAGTGCAGACAGACCGCGCAGCCAGAAGATCCCGCCTGTGGCCCAGCCCCAGCGGGCTGCGTCTGCGAGTTTTTCCAATGATCGTCCCCGAGTCGGACAGTGGAATCGTCGTGGCGGGCGTCCACACGCTCCGCTCGCGGCCGACCCCGTCAGGGCGGCGAGCGGCGCGTCATCGGAGCCGGCTCTGTCACGGTCGGTGACGATGTGACGGGAGGGAGCTGTCCTCGCCGGGCGTCCAGTCACGCAGCGGCGCTGGCGCTGCGACCCCAGCCGCTGGTGTGGCCGGGCGCCGTGCACGAATTAGGTCGGAAGCTGGTCCAGCTCAGCTGCACTGGAAGCATGTTACGCCGATCCGAATGGCATTCCTCTATGGGCTCGTCCTCTGGGTAGGCCCCTATGTGGTTCAGTCATTTGAGAAGGTTCATCTGACACTGCCCCATGGGCCAATCATTTGGGCAGGTTCACAAGAGATTCATTCATCCACGGGTCCATGATCCGGTAGATCCATCTGGCATTAATCTATGGATCAAACATCTGGGCGGGTCCACCGATATCTCCCCCGAGGGCCGGTCGCCTGTGTACGTCCGTCTGACATTTCTTCGTCAGTGAGCGACCTGGGCACGTTCGCCTGGCAGTTCTCTATGGCCCAAACATCTGGGTAGGCCCACCTGATACTGTCCTCCGGGTCAGTCATTTAGGTCATTTTCCCGGCTATTAAATCGATCGTATGAGTTGGTCAACCTGACATTTCCCGTTGAGTCAATCAACTAGTTTGGAGCGCCTGATATTCTTCTCCGAGTCGATCACCAGGACTCGCCGGCTGCCACTTCCCCTGCAGGCCTGCACCGACCACATCGCATTCCTGTACGGGTCTGCTCCACCTCTCCGTCGGCGCATTTGACATCCCCGTGCCCGCCGTCCTCGTCGTCGGCTCACGTGACGTCCCCTACGGGCCTGTAATGCACGCCGATACATCTGGCGCCCCTCTGTGGGTCATCCGTCCGTGCTGGCTCCCTGACCGCCGTCGCCCCTCGGTCGCTCAATCGCCCAATCTCAGCACAAATGTTCGATGCGGAGATGTGTCACAATTCCATCGCGATACGCCGGCATCGCTTCATCTCCCGCCCCCAGATTCCTCCGACCGCCGGCGCGATGGGAAACCAGATCTCCCGTCCACCCACACAAGCGGATGCACACAGTGCGCTATGAGCCCGCACCAAACAAAGAGATTAGGGACGTATTAGAAGACAACAACGCACAACGCCCTCCGGAGATGTCAAGGTGCACCTGTAGAAAGCGGCCTCTCACACACCCGCCAGCGGCGACGTGCTGCTTCGGCATGTTCTGATTCCTGGTGTTCTCAGGTGCCTTAACTTGCACGCAACGTCTGCCTTGGACAAGGTCAAAATACAAATCACACACTGCTTAACATAGCATTTAAGCGCTAACACTCTCTGCAATACGCGGGTCTTCTTAGCTCCCACAGCCCGTCCAACCAGCGAGTGTCCGTAAATTGGGCAGCCACGTCAGCGCACTGCGACAAGTCTGGGTGCACTTACCAATTGAATGGCTATTAACAACACAGTTTTGAGGGTGAACTTGCGATCACATAGGTCGAAGAGGTCCTCGAGGCTGGGGCCCAACAGCTCCATGACGAGCGCGTTGTAGCGACCGCACGGGCCGAAGTAGTGCACCCTCGGCACGCCCTCTGTCAACAGAGCGGGCGCGTGTCAGGTCAGGTCAGTTCATGTCGGATCACGCCAGCTGACGTGCTGCCCATGTCACAGAATGATGGCACGCATGGGGGTCACGTTTCCCATCCCCGCCCCGTCTGCACCGACGTCCCCCACCGGATATCCTCGCGTCCGCAGGATCCCAGCGTGCGGCGGCGGCGGCGGCGGCGGCGGCAGATGGCTTCTGGCGGCGCCCGTCATCAGGCGCGCGGCGCTCCGTCGACGGCGGGCGGCGAGCGACCGGCCGCAATCAGAGCACCGGTCGATGTCCGTCCGACACGGACGCCCCGACAGCCGAGCGGGTCGGTGTCTTCGACTGTGGCGGACCAGCGCCGGCGGCTCCCATCTCACTGTGGCGGGCCAGCGCCGGCGGCTCTCATTGTGGCGGGCCAGCGCTGATGGCTCCCATCTCACTGTGGCGGACCAGCGCCGGCGGCTCTCATCTGACTGTGGCGGACCAGCGCCGGTGGCTCCCATCCGTCCGTCCTGCGCTGACCGCTCCCCCACTGACACCATCACATCCGAACAGTTCGATCCGTCGCGTTCCAGCCGACACTCTTCGAAGGATACAGATGACAACCTTCGTTTGGTGTGTATCACCTCTAACGGCGATCCCTACCTCCGTTCGCCATCTAATCATCGCCCTTCTGTGGGTGACCCCATCCAGAGACCATCCCTCTCGGCGTCACCAGCTCTAATGGCCGCCCTCTCCGGGTCATCACCGCTGATGAACTTGTCTCCCCCGCGGGCCACTCGCCTCTCGCAAGAGGCCGGGCCTGACGCGCCGTGCTCGTTCGGCCGGCGTCGTTGGCGATAACGCCGGAGCGCGGCGGGCCGACTTCGCGGACGGTTCGATCAGCTGGGTCATCAGCCGGGCCGGATCGGCTGTCGGCCACGCCGCTGGCGAGACCGCCCCCCTCCCCCAGCGCCCACCCCACCCCACCCAACCCCTCCCGCGCCGCGGCACGAGATGGATCGCTGGGCAGCCAGCGGCCGGAGGCCAGACCGATGGAGCAGCGCTCCGCCCGGCGCCGGCAGCGAGCGATCACTCGGCAGCAACTCTCCTCCGCCGGCGCGCGGGGCGCCTCTGTCCGAGCCCGGCCCGGACACGGGCGCCGCCGCTCGGCCGTCCAGCCCGGTCCCTCAGGCCCGTTGCTGCCGGCCGGCCCGCCCACGCGGTACGGGCCGCTTTAAAAGGCTGGCCATCACACGCGGCCCGGTCGATACCCGGCTACAGAGCGGATCGGCCCGGCCGGCCGCGTGAACAGCATGCAGTCGTCGGCCGGCCACTCTCGGGGGTATTTAGTCCTCTCTGTGTCCCGTCCCGCCCCACGCCCCGTCACGAGACGGCAGCGGCGGCCATATGGACAGGCAGTCCACCACCGCCGCTGGCGCCGGCGCCAGCGGCGGAAGCCGGTCAGCGGGCCGGCGGCGTCACGGTCCCGCTGGTGGCCCCCAGAGCGGCGCCAGCGGCGGAGGCCGGTCAGCGGGCCGGCGGCGTCACGGTTCCGCTGGCGGCCCCCAGAGCGGCGCCAGCGCCGGCCGGCGGCGAACGCCGCTCACCCGCGAGCCGCCGGTCTCACCGCTCGGTCATGCCTGAAGGCTGAGGACGAGCACCAGGTCAAGCGAAGGGGCGGCTGCCGACAATAATTACCGCCGAAGGGACTGCCGACGACCTAATCACAGCTGGTGAGTCAGGAATGTCGCTGACACGAGGTGGAGCCACTCGGGACAAACGCCGCCTACCGTCTCGCAACAATGCCGACCACTTCTGGCTTTACGCAAAACCAACCCTTGAGTAACATTCCAAGACCTGCCATGCCACGGCGCTGGCACTGAGCCGGTGAGATAGGAGGGGGCGGGGGAGGGGAGGCGATGACGGTGAACAGGTCCAGTTCTCTCGCCGCCAGCGCGGCCACACGGTCCCAGCGACGGGGTATTCAGGTGTGACGACCGGTCCTCGAGCTCCTAGAGCGGCGTGACGACCAGTCCTCCAGCTCCTGGGGCGGCGCGACGACCAGTCCTCGAGCTCCTAGAGCGGCGTGACGACCAGTCCTCCACCTCCTGGGGCGGCGTGACGACCAGTCCTCCACCTCCTGGGGCGGCGTGACGACCAGTCCTCGAGCTCCTGGGGCGGCGCTCGCAGCTCATGACCGGGAGTCTCACAGCCAGTGTCGGACAGCGATGCGCGAGTCACGACCAGTCGCACCGGCGACATTCCGCTCCACGCAAAAAGACGCCACTGAAGACCAGACGGAATGCAGAGGATGCGGAGTACCACGTTGACCCACGTTGAAAAACAGCATGCACCTCACGCATCCATTTCCTGAGCCCGATGGTGTTGATTAGTGACCCGTATCTGAGCGCATCCATTACCCTGGATCTGAGAGGCCCCGCTCTGCGGACGGGTTTCGCGCCACCGAGCCGTACTGTGGTCCGTCTCCTGGCCACAGGGCCCTGCCTCGCCAGTGGGCGCCGCGCCGCGCGTGCCATTCTCGTCAGCCGCAGTCCTGGGCGGCGCCTCGACCCCCAGCGCCGTACTGCCGTGCGAAGCCGGACGACGCGGCTCCCAGGCGGCCGCTGCCGACGGCCCGACGCCCCAGCAGTGCAACCGCGCTAGTGGGGCCGGCCGCCGCCGCCGCCGCCGCCGCCCAGCACGGCAGTGACATCGCAACAGCACGGCGGCCGCACCGCGACGAGACAGCAGCGGTACGGTAGACGCACGGCAGCCATGCAGCAGTGGCGCAGCAGCGACACGGCAGTGGCACAGCAGCACCGCCGGTCACAGGACGGGACAGCAGATACGGCAGTGACGCAACGGCGCCGAGGCAAAGCCACAGCATAGCGGCACAGATGTAGCAAAGTGGCACGACAGCCGTTCAGCAACAGCGCAGCACAGCAACAGCGATAGACGGGATTAATGGCACCAGTCTGAGCAGCTGTGTCAGATCCGTCCGGCCGCTCAAGGACGGCTGACACTTGACAGGGTCCGCGGCATAATGCCCGGTGTTTGTGTCATAACGGACCGCGCAGACCACGATCTCATGAGTGCAGCCGCGCGCGTCCAAACAACGCCCGTACGGCTGCAAACTGGGGCGTATACACCGCGGTCCACGGGGACGCGCGCCCTCATCTGTCGTGCTTCCATGCATCACTATGTGCGCGAATAAATGTTGGCAGTAAAATTTCGGGGTAGACGAGCAAAAACAAGAATATGGGGAACAGGCAATATTACTTTTTGCCATGCAGCCATTCTGGTGCGCCCGTGGTGCGCTGAACTGGATACTCAGTGAAGGAATTCAGCTGCGCTTGCCCCCCTCCCTCCCCCCCCCCCCCACACACACCGTGTAATCCTGCACACGCCCCTGGCTGGAACCGACATCAGAGTTCGAACACAAAAGCCAGGTGACAATCGGAATTCACCAAAATGGCCGTCCCAGCCAACCACGGTACCTCGCGGCAGCTCATCCACGAAACAGATGCAGTTGGGGACGTGTTTTGGACTTTCATATGACCTTCTGGGGGACAGCACGTCCTGTTACATCAGACGAGTTTAAAATAGCATGAAAGGCTAGCGCAATGCACTCTGTGGGAAATTATACGTCAGACACATCAGGCGTCGCTGTCTGCTACTATTTCTATAATAAAAGAGCGATGCAATCCATATCAGAGTTAAAACGCAGGCGTCCAGCGTTTGCATGGTTGCTTTGAGCAGTGCAAGAAAGCGTCTGCCAAAAAGGCCACATATAATCGTGCCAGCATATGATCAGTGTTAGCGCAGGCTCCACATCCCGAGGATGAACCACTCGTCTACGGACCGGCGCAGTGCGATGAGTACCGGTGGCAGCTCAGCCAGCGGTCGGCGTGTCCTGCCAACAGCACAGCACAGCCACCAAATGTGTCATCAAAGCCAGGTCTCAGATGAATACCGGCGGCATCTCAGCCAGCGGTCGGCGTGTCCTGCCAACAGCACAGCACAGCCACCAAATGTGTCATCAAAGTCAGGTCTCAGACGAGTACCGATGGCTGCTCAGCCAGCGGTCGGCGTGTCCTGCCAACAGCACAGCACAGCCACCAAATGTGTCATCAAAGCCAGGTCTCAGATGTGTACCGGTGGTAGCTCAGCCAGCGGTCGGCGTGTCCTGCCAACAGCACAGCACAGCCACCAAATGCTTCGTCAAAGCCAGGTCTCAGATGGTGACTGATAGATACAAAGAATGCGATTTTTAGCGCTGCCCCAGAGATACACCACCCGCATAATTCAAACCTGGAAACACGAGAACACTACACGATGACATCAATTTTGCGCGCTAATTTTGAGGGTTTTGTGATCAGATCAAATGGTGTGCGGGGCTTGTGGCTTGTTCCCCTGAGCTCATGACGCGGGTCAAAGTCCAGTCAGCCTGTACCGCTCACCAGAGTCTCGTCCGCAATAACAGCGGGTCATCTTTCGTGCCGTACAATGCCATCATACGTGCGAACACGTATTGTACCTCGTAAAACGCCCACCAGCTGTTTAGACGAACAAAAGAAAAGGCAAGCGCCCATTTATCACCGGACCCAATACGTTCAACAAGCGCTCCGATGACGCCACCACCGCTGCAGTCGGTCTGGTTCCACTGGCTCGACGTCACCGGGTCTGACGGCGACCGGAGGTCGCTGCGGTCGGTCTGGCTCCACCGGCTCGACGTCACCGGGTCTGGCGGCGACCAGAGGCCGCTGCAGTCGGCCTGGCTCCACCGGCTCGGCGTCACCGCGTCTGACGGCGACCGGAGGCCGACCGATCCCGGGCACCGTCCGCACCAGCACAATGCCATAGTTCGGTTGTCAAGCTCCACGGCAGCCCGGCTCCAGCGGGAGGTGCCGAAGCCGGTCCACTTTCCGGCAGCGCGACCACGGGCGCAGCGTAGCGGTGCCGGACAGCGGCGGCGGCGGCGGCGGCTGCGGCGCGGGCGAGCGCGGCCGGCCTCCGGTGCCGGCCGGCCGGCCGAGCGGCACCGACGGCCGCCCAGTTTACCGCTCCATCGGATCGGCGGCCGAGCAGAACAGGCCGGCCGGCCCTGCCACCGGGGCAGCCGGCCGCCAGGCGGGGCCAGACGGGCTGCACGAGACGGACTCCGGGAACACGGACGCAGCGTACGAATACTGACCAGCCCGATACGGACACACAGACACGGTGCACGGAGGCAGGGCGTGGGCAGACCGAGCACGGGCGACGCTCGCAAACTACGGCCTAGCCTGGCCACGGTCCGATCGACACGGCTTCAGCCGCGCCCGGGCGTCACTGGCAGCTGCCGCGCCCGTCCACATGACGGGCCACGCTCCCAGCCTTCTCCCCTCCGCCGCCCACCGCCTCCCGTCCGCTCCGGGCGACACCAGACCAGCGAGCCGCCGCCCGCCGGCGCCCCGCAGCTTGGCGTGACAACGGGGCCGCCGTCGACCGGCGCCGAGCATCCCTTCACCGTGGCCAGTCCGCCGGCCGGCCGGCTGAGCGGCCGGCCTTCCCACGGGGCGCGGCCGGCGGCCGTTCCGCTCGGCCGACGCCCGCCCGCCGGCCAGCGGTTGGCGGCCGGCGCCGCCGCCGCCGCCGTTCACAACCAGCGCCTCCTGGCGGCGCCGGCGTCTCCGCCGTGCGTTTATTCATGGTTGAGTCCGCGGAGCAACAGCCATCTTATAGCGTTACTGAGTTGGGGCCTGCTCCGTAAGAATCCCGCCCCAAAAAAGCAGCCGACTTACTAGGCTCAAACTTATCCTGTAGTTTGTCTACTGATCACTTACAATCAATTAACCAACGTAAAATGAGGTGAAGCTGTTTCATCACAAATGCCTGTCATAGTTTTATAAAAGCACTGAAACAAGGCACTAGTATCATGGATCGAATAATTGTTCGGACTGTCCTCCTCGTCCCGTATGTTAGCATGCATGCAACGCTTCGGCTAGCTGATCTCCGGCTGTTGTAACGTGTTAGGGAGTTCTGAGACGGACTGGGTGATGTTTCGCTTTCACCCATGTACGCGTCAAGACGCGAGTTCTCAGTTTTCTGCATAAAGTGGAGTCAAGATGGGCCTAACTGTGTGTCATGAGTTAACGTTACCAAAGGAATACAGAAACATTAAAAGAAGACATAGCTGTTACGTCACTTCACTCCACAAAGGGGTGAAATGAAACAGGCAGCTGTGCACCGCGTTTGGATACTCAAGAAACCTCTGAGGCAAATTGGAAGGAAGCCGTGGTTTAAAAAGCTACACAAAACTACATCAGCTTGTGCGCCTTAGTACCTTAAATACCTACCAAAAGTTTTTAGCCCTAGTGAACGACCAACGAAAACAGCCGTCACGCAAAACGGGGTTCGGGCCAGAAGTCTAGACAACAGTGCACAGTTTAAGCTGATATTACTGCAAAGTATACTGCAACGTAAAATGTGAAAAAGCAGTTCCAGACCTTGTCGCGACGGTGCGAGTTCAGAACAGCTATGTTCCAGACTGCTCTGGACAAGGTGTGTTGGGGAAGGAGAGGAATTTGGACGGCCTCTCCTGTCCCTATAGCACTGCGGCCCGCAGATATAACCATTGCACTGCATTTTGGCCGGCTGGCAACCCCTGCGGGTGCAATGGGTCCACAAGCGGCCCACGCAGGTCCAAGACAGCTGTTTTGGGGAAACCTTGGATGTTTAGGGGATCAGCACGGCTTCCTGTGGAGGCCTTGAGATTAACAGGGACGCCCTCAAACTCGTTGATGGGGCGACTGGTCCCTCGCCCTCCCCTTGGCCTACATCTGTACAAGTAAAGCAAATCGTAGCTGACATTTTGTATCACTCAACGCCAACGGTCAGTTCACAAAATGGCACGTTGACGTTGTGGGCGTGGCTATACTGCAGGTCAGGAGCGCTTAGCATCATCCCATATGCAACCACTTCAAGCGGAATGTGAAACGCAGGGCGCAGAGAGGAGTTAAACAAACCTTTCCATTTTTGTGCACATAACTGAAAACTTCATCCGAAATTGGGCCTCGCGATTTGTCCAGCTTTTTCAAGTGGAGGCCATTGCTTTTTTTGATAAAAGTATATGACTTCACCGACAAGAGCTTGGTGTCGTCACCAATCGTGGTTGGAATGAGCTGCGCAATGATGAACATACAGTGAATCGATCCCACTGAAATAGTCGAATACACGCACAAGAGCCGATGCCCGATTTCTGGATAGAACCTGTCCGGGCCGTCCCACCATCACCCACCGGTGCGCGTCAGCCAAATGTTGCACACTCGCGATCTAGCTCGGCTACGGGACCACGAAGCGTCCTCGCCACCGTTCGGTCCATCCTGCTCGCTCCAACCCAGTTCCAGTTCGTTCCAGCTGCCGCTGGGGCCAGCACGCGAACGCGCGCGTTAGCGGAGGGTCCGATGATACGGGCGTGCATCGGTCGGCGTATGCCGCTGGAACGGAGCCAGGCGGCTCTGGCAGCGCCGCTGGCGCCGCCCGGGGCTCGCGGAACCGCGACAGCTCGATAATCTTCGACACTCCTCCGAGCAAGCGTCACGCAATCAACCCGGCTGGAGCAGGCATACGCCAATGGTCGGTAGCTGAGTACGCTGACCCGTTGCAGCATTGCAATACGATTCTTCCGATTCAGTTCATTACTGGCGTCAGTAATTGGGGCTTCATAACGCACTCAGTTGCTAAGGCTATATGGTGTCGCTTGCCTCTCACCCCGGCAAAAGCGTCGGGCACCGCGAAGAATCGAACCCGGTGCCTCTGGTTTCCCAGACGCGCAGCTTCCCCACTACAATATCGATGCCGCCTCATCACTGGCGTCATATGTCTTCATCTCCAGTAGCGATTTCCGGGCACTAAAAACACCATAAAGATAACAAACCGGAGCAATAATACAACAACGATCTGCTGCGTCTAAAAATACGTTTGACATGAGCAGCACAGCCCAAAGAATTCGCGGAGCTGCATGTCCATGTCAGCGATCGAGAAGCGTGCGCATTTTGCTTCCCGTCTTCAGACGCTGCCGCGCCTGGCGCCCTTGGCCGCGCGCTGCCCCACCCTCACGCCCTCACGGTGCCACCTCGCACGCGGCGTACCGCTGCCACGCCGCGGCGCGCCTGGGACGGCCGGGGTCCAGCGGGGAGGCACCGGGAGCTGCAGGCGCGCGCCGCCTCCCGAGCCAGACGTCGGCCGGCCGGCGCTGGGAGTCTCCCGGGGGCCCCATAACGGGCCGAGCGGCGGCCACGCTCCCCGGCACGGCCCACCGACCGGCTGGACCTGGACGGTAAACTGGACAGGCTGGGGTGCACGGTTTGCAGCCGTCGAGCCGACACGGCCCGAGCGTCAGTGGCCACGGCCGGACGGCTCGTGGCGTTGCAGAGCGCCACGAGGATCACTGGCGTCGCTCATCCCGACCGCTGGGGCCGGCTGGCGCCCGCGGCTCGGGCTTCACCGGCTTGGCGCGGTCGTGGTCGCGTGCGGTCACACCCCGAATACGTCAACGACACCGGCATGCACAGCGCTGCCCTTTTACGGTAGCTGATAGAGCACCTTTAAACCTCAGCGCCACAGCCCTGTCGAGGACCACGGGTCATTAAAACCCGGCCGGCGCCGCGCGCATCACGAATGCCCGGAGTGCGCCGCTGGTGCCGTCCACATCGTCGGCCTGCCACTTCCCCAGTCACTTGGACAGGACGCCGGCCGGCCTGGCCCGTCACGACCAAGACCAACTGTCAGCTGGTCTCGGCTGTATCCCACCCGGCAAACAAATGAATGGGCCGGCAGATCACGCCAGATCGTTCGCGAGAGGCAAAACACGATTGTGTGATAACTTATACGGGTAAACAAAAACGCAATGATCGTTTTACGGGAAACACTGAAACTGTTAACAATGTCGTTACGCCCACCGACTAACCACGCGCAATGGCTTCGGCCCCACTCCCATCACCACCACGAGAACGCGACACGATACAGAGCAATCGAGCCTTCCCACGCGGCATTACCACAATGCCCACAGCGAAACACTGCGCAACCCCCGCACTAATTCGCTCGCCGGTGCTAACATCCAGTAGCCATCGCCGTGCGCCGCGTGTTTTCGACTGCGAGCGCTGAGCCGGGCAGTGGCCGGCGTCATCAGTATTCAGCGGGGCCCGGATCGCGGTGCCGGCCGGCTGCAGAGCACAGCCAGAACCCACGGCCAGCTGACGGGCTCATTCCACCCGTGCGCCGGAGCGGGCGGCGCCAGTGTGCTCTCCGATAACGGCGTCTGGCCAGGAGCGTGATGCGCTCCGAGCCGGTGCAGCCGCGCCCGGCTGGGGTCCAATACTGCGCGCGGCAGGTGTGAGAATGCCAACAGGCCGGACAGGGCGTGTCGCTGCCCGCTCTCCGGACCGCCTTCGTGCAACGCACTGTTATCAAGACAACCACGCGACTGGCAGCCGAGGCTACCTCGTCACCTGAGGAGCCGGTCACTGCGCCCGCCACACACCACACGCCACGCCGCACCGCCGGGCTGCCGGCACCCCGGCACTACGCGGCGGTGGAAGCCGTCTAGGCGTTGCACTAACCCCACCCGCTCACCATGCCCCCGGTAACGGCGTCGCCGTGCCGTGTGCTGCGTGACCCTGACGCCGTGACGTCGCGGCCGCCGCAGTGGCGTGGTGCGCGGCGCGCGTGCAGCCGGCGGGTGGCCGGCGTCGCGACATGGCCCGGCCGCCCGTCACCGGCCGCCGGCCCGCCAGCAGCGGCCGCCGACGCCCCACCAGTCCGGATGCACGCGCCTTGAGCTGGCAACGCCGGACCGCCGGGGGTCCGCGCCGCCGGACCGCCGGGGGTCCGCGCCGCCAGACACGCTCTGACCCGCCGGCCGGGCACGCACGCGTCCACTGGCCGGGCGGCCCCGAGCGGCGTCCCTCCGCTCTCAGTCACAGACGGTCCGGCAGCAGCGACTCAGGCGCGCCGCCGCTCCTCCCGCACGGCGCGATCCAGCGGCGGCGAACGTGACGAAGCAGCGGCGGGCAGGCGCCAATCGCTGACCACTGGCCGGGCGTCCCCGAGCGGCGTCCCTCCGCTTTCAGTCACAGACAGCCGGCAGCAGTGACGCAGGCGCGCCGCCGCTCCTCCCGCATAGCGCGATCCAGCGGCGACGAACATGACGAAGCAGCGGCAGGCAGGCGCCAATCGCCGACCACTGGCCGGGCCCGGCCAGGTTGCGTCCACCACTACTGGCGCGCCGGACAGGGTAAACCCCCTCCCCCACCACCAAACATAAGGCCAGTGATGCGTGATCCGGACTTCACGGCCACTGACTCATCAGACAACCTCGCAGCCCAAGGATTTGGTGGAGAGGGGACGGGGTGCCTTTACCTTCCGGCAGGAGGACAAATCAAGTCGGTGGTGACTCACCGAAGTCGGTGTTTCTATTTATGTCGCGATAACGTAGCGATAGCGTGAACTGAAGCGGGCATGTCCGCCAGTCCGCCAAGCATGTCCTTCAGCAAGGCCCCACACAAACCTCTTCTGCACCTGCTTTGTGCCTACGCAGCAGTTTATTCGTGTGCTCGGCGTAGTTCCGGGTGCCGGTGCGTGGCGTTGGTGAGATGTGCCGTCGGCGACGCGCCGGCTCACGCCCAGCACAGCCCGAACGCCGCCGCTGCATCACCGCCGCCGAGCCCACCCGCCGGCCGGAGCGGCGGTACACGGTGACGCACGGCCGGCGCCGGCAGAAGCGCGGCGCCGAGCGAGCACACCCGACGCTCCCGGTCTCTCCACCGCGCCGCCGCTCCTCCCAGGACCCCTCACGAGGCGGGACGGATCTACTACCAGGCCCCAGCCGGCCATGCGCCGCCCCTGCTCCGGCCGCGGACAGGCAGCGCTCCGGTCGGGCCGGCCGCGCTCACACCTGCCGCACGGGAGATGGGCCGGCCGGCCGCGGCCAATCAACGGGCCGCAGTCAGCTGATGCATCAGCTGTCGCGTGGTCGGCGACGGCGCGGGCCGGCGCGATGAGGCGACGCCGCACGGCCGGCCGAGCGGCGGCGCTGCGCCGGAGCGAGCCCGGCCGGCCGCTCCGTCAGCGGCCGGCGTCAGCGTCAGCAGACAGCGCCGGCCGACACAACGCTACCGGGTTCGCTCCGTGGAATGATTGCAAACGCTTGGCGCCCTGGCGTTCTGCCGCGTGTCAACGCGGCATTCCACAGACGGCGCAATAAAATGTAATAAAGCGACCAAGCTTGACCAGGAGCCCGAAGCCTCGCAACAGCTCAACACTCGGTCTGCCTGATCGAGGATGGGGGAGGTATGGCACACATTCGGAACAGCCGCAACCGGATATAAAACTCGCGCGCGTCCACAAACCACCAACACCCAAAACGGCAAGCGGCTGGCAGATAGCGTCGGCACGGGACGAGATGGTGCTCCGCTCAGTTGCCGCTCCGCGTCCGCATCAGCTGACCGCCGCGAGATCGTCAGCTGACCGCGGACCAGTCATTGCACCGCGGCAGACGCCGATACATCCCGGCTCACTGACGGGGCCGCCGTCCGGCAGCCGGGATCGAGCGCATGGCCAGCCCCGCCCGCGGCCGCCCCGGCCGGCCGATGGCCCGCCGGCAGGCAGGTGGCGCGACAGTTCCGGCGCGCGATACAGTTCCGGCGCGGCCGACGGGCCAACGACCGTGCGCGGCGCGGCGGCGGCGGCGGTGGCGGCCATCAGCTGGGAGGCACCAGGCCGCCGCCGGACGGTCCGGAAGGCTGGGAGAGTGGCAGCCGGTCGGGTCGCGGGACGTCCGACGACGGGCGCACCGCGGCCGCCGCCGACGAGCCGGCGCTAGCGAGGACAGGCACGGCGCCGAATGGGCTCCAGCGCCGTAGCCGACCCCAACCGTGCGGCGATAATGATATTTAACCCCCCCCCCCCCCCCCCCCCCACGCGACGACGAAACCGGTCGCGCCGCCGGCCGCGTGCGGTGCCGATCCGGGCGCCGGCCGGCTGATCGGCAGACCGGAGCGCGCCCCCGAGCGTGCGGCCCCGCTCCGGGAGCTGCCACCGTCTCGGCGGAGGGGGGCTCCGCCAGCAGACCCGGTCCGCGCCAGGCTCCAGATCACGTCTTCTCCGAAGCAATCCGTTTATGCTGATACGGCATCGCTTACTTCCGCGCTAGCCAGAGATTATTTACTTCCGACACTCGTTGACTTTTCATACCATTTATTCGATCCTAATCAATCTGTACTCTTTGTTCCGTGGTGAGCCGACTCAACATATTCCAGCCATACTACCGCCAGAGCGTACCCAGGCCAGCCCAGCCTGGGTACTGACATAAGGAGGTGGTCAGAGATAAGCCGACACACAGCCGGGGGCGGGCGGTGACATCGGACCTTACGTGCCGACGGCGACCGCCCAGGCAGTCCGGCTATCGCACAGACAGTGATAATCGTGATACGCCGCCAACAAAGCCCCTCGTCGCCTCCCCCGACCCCGCCCAAGGCCGGCAGTATCGAAACAGCCTTGCTGCCGACTCCCTCCCCTCCGCCCCCTCCCTCCCCCCACTGCTGACGTCTCAATGCGTATGTGTGTCACGGTGCAAAATGAAAAACAAAGCCTGCGTTTTTAACAACCGCGATAAAGTTACGAAGGATAACACCATACGCCACGCTATCAGGGGAGGGCGTGCTCACACGCAACACTCATTACGAAAATGGCCCGGCTCGGGTACAGCCTGTCATAAGTGTCCCATAATGGTAAAATGGCACACATCAACTCCCATCAGCCGACAGGCCGGCCGCGCGGGCGCGCCGGCGTCCGGCCGCCGTTCACCTACCGTGCGTGCCGAGCTGCCGGTAGAACCTGTACTCGAGGTGCAGCTGGGGCGCCTTCGACTTCATCGGCTCCTGCGGGCGGCGGCGGAGGCGGACGGCGCGTCAGCAAGGTCGGCGTCCGGGCGGCGCCCCCTCCCCCTCCCCCCTCCACTCTCCCAGCCACCGAGGCGGAGGCCGGCTAATCAGAGCGTAGCGGCGGCGCTGGCGCTGAGACAAGCTATCATATCGAAATGTGTCCCGATGGTTACTCATGTTGCACTGGCTCGAGAAGATTTCATAAGTGAGCTGATAGTCACTAAAAGGAATACAGTTGGCTAATGATATCAATATTGGCAACTCCTGGGGTACAGAAAACTCGCGACAAAAAGTAGCATCATTTCACCTCACCTCCCCTCGTTTCACCTTCACCTTCCAAGTACTATGCTCTTACATACGGCATGCAAATCGCAATCGCATGACGACGACGCCATTCCTGCCTTCGGAATGACGGCACCAAAAACGGTCCGCATATATCCCGCATCACGCACAAAGCATAGACAGCACAAATTTGTGAAACGTTGCCATATGATGACCTGTTACGCGCATGCGTGGGCCGTGCATGTACATGCACACACGCACACGCGTACGCGCATGCCGGGCCGCGCACGGCTGCCACACACCAGAGTCCCCTAACGTGGCACGGCTGCCGGAGTGACGTCAGCGCCAATCGGCACATGCAGCCAGCGCCGTATTTGGGCACGCGCGCACAGTGGCGATGACCGGCCGTCATCAGTCCGTTTTATCGCGCTGATACGACAGCTGGGTCGGCTGGACGGAGGAGCGGATACGACAGCTGGGTCGGCCGGACGGCAGAGCCGATACGACAGCTGGGTCGGCCGGACGGCAGAGCCGATACGACAGCTGGGCCTGCTGGATAGCGAAGCGGACACGACAGCCGGACGATATCCTAAAGCCAGCTATATGACGAAGTAGCGATAGCGACAAGGTGGGACTTCCCGAGGGCGTAATATTCACATCTGTCACGAGGGCACATCTGTCTCAGCAGCAGTTGGGGTCTCGACATGGAGGGCGGGGGGGGGGGGGGGGGCGCAGACAGCTGATTCTCCCAATCTCTCATCAAGATGCGTTATAATTGTGTTTGAAATGGCACGCAGGGGTGCCTGCCAGGTCATATCACTCTCAGATACTCCGGGAAGAGCTCAATGCACGCACCCGGAACCCACCACCCAAATCGAGTAGTTCCCGTTAAATGGGCACATTTCGATCCGAGCTTATTTATCGGACAGGATGGGGAAGGATATGTCGTGTCGTATAATGCTAAGACATGGCAGCTCCAAGTCGCTTCATCACTTAAGCCACGGGCCAGCTGAGCCTTCCATATCGGCCAGGCAACACGACGAGCGCTTTCTCGGAATTGAACCCAGCAGTGGACTGTCCTTTGGAGTCGTTATATCCGCCCCGACGGACAGTCCATGGAACACCAATTAGCGCAGTTCGATAAACTGACGGACATCGAAAGTAGTGTCATTACTTCATTGTTCTCTACATAACCGTCACCAACTAGTAAGAACACACAAGTCAAGACGGAGCCCTAGCAGTTAGCCACGAACACCTCTAAACATGTATTCACTTCATGACATGGGGCAAGTACCTCAAGTATTTGTCGATTTCGCACATGCACCACAAAAGGTGCGCAAAACCCACCGGTGGGATGTGATAGCCACGTGTTCGTAAGAGCCCTGCAGCCAGACATGTACCTGAGTTCTAAGATGTTTTTCCGGGAGCCCGCTCAAGGTTCTGAGACCAGGACGAACCCCAAAACCAGTCTGGTTTTGGGCTGAGGGATCCAGCAGGAACCAGGATCCACCCTCATACTAAATAGAAAGATCCAGCAAGAGCCAAGATCCAGCCTGACAATAAGCCGAAAGATCCAGCACGAAGAGCATGTTACCTACAAGACCACAGGGCACGTGCCATAACACATCAAAAAGTGGCGGTGTCTGACCCAACTTCAATTGAACTTTTTGCCAACCGTTTGTTTACATCCTTCTTGGCTAAGGTAATAGAGGTTGAAAAGCACCAAACCGAGCCAAAAACACAGATCCCGCTGGATAAACTTGATCAACTGGGGTTAATAACCATTTTGGAAAAAAACCATTTATAGATAATTAATCCATCAAAAAACTGTAACTACCAGAATTCGTCCATGCAAAACCAAGCATGATGACCTGCAATGGAAATGGGCCTACCATTGTTTTACATTTGCTCACAGGATGTGCAAGTGCGAAGATGAAGGAGGGGGACCGATCATCAGCTAACCGACCCGCACTAGCCATACCGCTCAGGTTGTGCCAGCGTCCGATTTCTGACAGATATCTCATCTATTCCATCCGTTATATTGTCGTGGGATCTGACCACATCTTACTTCAATACAAGCAAGGACACCACTTGATATCAATTTGCAAGTTTGGCAGACCAGGAGGACCTGGATTCTGACCTGACTGCACTTTAGGGAGACCCTGGTGATTGGACAGTTGGAATTGATACACTGTTTATGTTGCCTTGAAATCTAGTGTGATATGGCATGATCCTGATTTGGTTGATTAGCGCACATTCACAACTGACACCCCTACTATTTTGCAATGGTGAGCACATGGTTTCGAGAACATGTTGACTGTTTAACATGCCTGTAGTGTGTGAATTTTGACTTTTATCACAAATATGTGGATCATCCAGGTGATAGATGCAGCTGTCAGCGACTTATTTCGGACTTGTGGGTAATGATCTTAAATTTGCAGTGAAGCTCTGCTGGTTGTATGGTGGTATGGCGACATACTGTTTAACTTGTCTGGAGTATGTGGCTTTCATGCGATGTGAGAGCTGAAATATATGGGTTAACCCGTGTGATAGTTTCAGCTGTCACACGTTGACTTCTTAGCTGTAAGAAAATTACGCATAACTAGCAGTTATAAGCGTTTTTTAGTTGCATTGGCGGTATCAGGGCATGCTGACTTGTCTGTGGTGTAAGACTTTAAATAAATGTGGGAGTAAAAATATTTGAGTTGTCCTGTGTGACCTACATGGCCGTGACTGAAAACCACGAGTCAGTTTCGTGCTTATAAAGAAAATCAGTGACGATCAGTATGCAAGGTCCAGTGCTTCCATAAGAACCAAGGAGAACCAGGAACCAGGCTTATGGTCTGCTAACGAGCCAGAGGAAGTCAGGATCCAGCGTTTGGCTTTGTCGAAAGAACCAGTGGGAACCAGGATCTATGGTTTTATCTCGTTGAAAGAACCAGTGAGAACCACGATACAGAATCTTGGCTTGCCGGAAGATCCAGCAGGAGCCAGGATCCAGGGTCTTGTTTTGTCCAAAGGACTAGCGGGATACAGGATCCAGGGCTTTAAATGCCGAAGGAACCAGTGGGAGCCAGGAACCAAAACTAGAGAACAGACGCATGTCTGCTCGCAGCATGCGCATAAGCGGTTTGTCTTGAAAAAGTGCGACACTTAGTCGTGCCGCTCCACTAGGCCACGATCGTGTGCCGGTTATTACAGAGCTGAGATCAGTGGCAGTGGTAATTGGGGCTCTCGGGCGCTTCGACTGCGCGGTCATACAGAGCCCAAAACGCGGAGCTGAGACCAGTAATACCAGCGGAGCACGCCAGATGAGCCGCGTGGTGACCACGTGACTGGAGGGGGGGGGGGAGGGAGAGGTCACAGACCCACGGAAGGCACGGCCCGGAAACATAGACTGAAACCCACGAAACGGAACGGCATGCGAAAGCCACAGCTCCCGGTGGCACAACAAAAACACTGTGCCGATAGCAACAGCAAAGGAAAAGGTGGGTCAGATTTACGTATTTAGCGACGCAATTAGCATCCAGGTTTTTCAGCGTCGCAATACCTTGCTGCCATCACGGCGGCCGATAAAACGCAGCAGGTAAGAGCCATCGAATCAACGCCATTCCGGCTGATCAAGCTTGTTCCATGCCAGCAAATTACGACGTCCTCACGAAACGGACAAAAGCTACTGGCACGAAACCAAAGGCAAAGTAGGCATCCAAACAAGCTGTGTCAAATTCCACGACCACCATGCTCGGCAACTGCTAAATGTACGGTGTGGTTTGACGTCATAAAGAAGCAAATCAACAGGTTGTCAAACGGTCGTGTAAAACCGTACAGCGCTAGCATACGAGGCAGCACACGGCACCAGGGGCAATACAAACGGCGCGGACAGCCGAGTCGCACGATGGAACACGGTGCGAAACGGCACACAGCCGTGCCAAGACACGAAACGGGCCGAGCACGACCGACTCGTCACTCGCTTATTCACGAGCATCCGAGCGAGGAGGAACATCACAGGCCAATGACCTCACGCCGTGGAACGTTTGCTAAGAAAAGCCACGGCTCGCAATGGGCTGATCCGAAGTATGGAAACCATCCCTCGCAGATCATCAACATCAACAGCGCTGAAGCCTGAAGTTCCGCGTGGATTGATGGCCCAGTGTACTCATGCAGGGAGGATGATGCTCTTTCCAAAATCGGACGCTCGCGTGACTAACTGATGATGAGTTCTCGGACGCGCCGATTACTAGGGCAATTTTGCATCCACTATGGCATGTCCTTCTCCCCTTATTTTAAAAAAAAATAATGCAGCACTGAGTCGCTGCGTATAAGACATGTTTTGAAGTGACATGATCGAAAGTCTGCAGCGTTACACTTGATGGACATGAAATTGCCTCTATGAGGCATCGTACATGCATCTTCCAGCTCGGACAGAACGTGTCACCAATAACCCATACGTATAACCCAGGGCGAATTCAGAACGCCGACTTGGGGCCCAGAGTCCCAAATGTGCTGATGATTAGCCAAATAATCACCAAAGAGTTATGGAAGACACGCCAAATAACAAGGTTATTTTGCGCCCTCTCAGAAAGATATTCCGCATGTCAAATATCCTCGATTTCGCTCGTTTTTATTCCAATGAGCGGTCTAAAACCAGCTTCCCTTGGTAACGGTTGCTTACTATTTCGTCAAAGTTCAAGTTCAAAGATGAGTCATTTCTGCCCGTCCCTGGCCACGTTGGGGAAAGATGGCCCGGCTGGCCCTCTTCCCCTTCCCTGGAACTGTCCTTGCACACAGCACTGTACTTTCATCCAGTCTATGACGAATCAATGATGAGGGGCCAGTTTTAAGCCACCATAGCCGGAAAACCAACCGATTACCGCGCGTGGGCGCCAGCCGTGCAATGTGTGCCGATAGCAGGCTGCACGTGTCCACCGATGACACATGCTGAAGCCGATCATCTGACACAGGAGTTACCACTGCAGACCGCAGCCATGCCCGAATGGACACAGAAACCTCCCGGGCGTATTTCTTTCCACATTCGCCTCCGTTCAACAACCGTAGCACGTTGCATGAACTACAAATACGACCTATGGCCACTGAACCAAGGCGGAGTCCACAACCAGAAAGATCTTCAGTCAGAGCCCTAATGCGCATGAGATGATATAGACTATAGCCAATGAAGAAACAGACTTCGTCACGAACAGGACGCAACACATTGCACGATAAAAGTGGCACCTTAAATCGTGGGGCGGTTGAGAGGGAACAGCAAAAAAGCAAAAAATTGCATGTGTCAGCAGAACACTTATTCTGATAACACGTGCTAACAAGATACTGTAAGGCACCAACAACCAAAACAATTACATCAGTAACAGCCCAGGACAGTGACAAAAACGCAAATAAAATGGCTGGTGGGTCCATATGTGTTCATAAAAGGCGGATGACAAACAAAAACATGACACAAGGTGAGAACAGCCATAGATACACCGGAGACACACGCCACAAAGCGCTCATCCAGCCGAGAGCTAAATGGGCCAGGCAACTCGGACCATCCGGTTCGTGATTACTTGCATCTGATGACTGTCGGGAAAGCCGAATGATGTCCAACACATACATGCCCAACTGCCTGCTCCCGATAAACAACATCAAGACCACTGGAGCACATACCTCTACCTCTCCCCCCCCCCCTCTCTCTCTCTCTGCTTCCACTCACCAGCTTGATGGCGACGTGTTCGCTGTTGTACATGTTCTTGCCGAGCCGGAGCTCGCCGAAGTTACCGCAGCCAATCTTCTTGCCGACGCGGAAGTTGGAGCCGACCATGAGCACGCCCGAGCTCGAGCCGGAGCCGGACTGGCGCGAGCCCGTGCTCTGGACGGTGGCGCGGCTGGAGGAGGGCAGGCGCGCGGCGCGGCGCGCCGCCGCCGCCTCATCCGCCGGCTTCTCCTTGGCGTCCCGCTTCTGCATGCCGCGCGTCCGGGCACTGACGCTGAAGTAGCGGGCGGCGGCGATGCCGAAGTGCGACACCTTGGCGGCGGGACGGGCGCGCGCACAGCCACGGGAGGGCGGCGGGCGGTCACGAGCGGACGCCGGCGGCGGGCGGCGGGGCGCCGGTCACGCGGGGGCGCCGGGCCATGGGGCGCCGGGCGGACGAAGTGCCTCCCAGCGCCGCTCCTCTAGGCCGGAGGCCGGTCGGCCGGCTACCTGCGGCGGATAGGGTGCCGTCAGCCGGCGGCCAGGGGAAAGGACAGGAGGAGGATCAGCTGCTTTCACCGCCAGTGGCAAGAATAGTTATGCTGACTGTGGAAAGTCACGGAAAATGCTAACGAAAGGTCACCCTGGGGCTGGGGTATCCCTCAGGTAGAATACTGACTGGTTGCAAACTATCCAGAAAAAGCATCTTTATGCAACTGTTAACTGCAAAACAAACCAATTGTGTCTGTTAACTGAGAGCAATAAGCATTTGCCATGCTGTGATGTGTTTGGCACAATAAACTGGTATAAGAGATTTATCAATTTAGTAGCATTGAAGCAAAATATGTTGAAACAAGTTTGGCATGTACACACACCAACTAAACTGCATCTGCCTATTCACGAATAATGGCAGCAGACAGCTTAAAACCCTCATTTGGCATTACACCAAGCTCTTTACATGCTGACACTATAGATGTATGCTTAAAAAACTGGTGCTATGCTGATACAAATGGTGACCCCAAATTTTACATTCCAGGCATGTGCATGACACAAAGTGTGCTGATGTCTCAGGTAGTGCAATACTCTTTCATAAAAGGCTTGGTTCAATGAGAGTTTGACATCTCATCATTTGCATGCATCTATGCTAATTCTACTCTAGTAGCATTCATTTTGACAAAAAATGGTTTGACTTGCAATGGTTTAAACTTAAATATTCTTATTTCTTTAACACCAAAATTTTCAACCTCCAATTAAAGACCCCAAACCAGCACACCAGCACTGCTCCTTCAGAGAAATGATGAAGATTTTGTTTGAAATTAACACATTCGCCCTGCATCGGCCATGCGTCTGTGTTTCCAGGGTGTGGAGCACAATTTCAGCATTAAAGTACAATATAGGAAGTGGGTAGAATAAGCCAGGAGGCCAGCTTTGTATTTGAACAAGCTCTTTGTTTAAATGTTGACTATAGCTGACAAGTTGAACCTATACTTACCAAAGTATGTTTATGTGATCATGTATGCTAATATTTAAAGTACTGCTTACAAAAGTGTGCAGCCTTTTTTGCATGTTTCACACATAGTTAAATCAAATGTGTGATTCACACAGCAACATCAGTATTCTCAAAAATAGTCCAAATAGCTCAGCAGTTGTATTTGAAGTAGCTGCTACCATGGCAGAAATGTCATTTGACTCACCCTTTAACTCCCTCACATCTTACTGTTACTGTCACCAATAGGACAGCCATATGTTTTCAGTATCACAGCAGTAAAATGACTTTCTCCCACGAGCATGTGCAAAAAACTGAGCCCCTCATACTTAGGGTAAAATGCACAAAATATGAGGTCATACTTTCATTTGAAAAGAAATGCTAGCCTTCAGCTTTGTACTTGATATAAGCCATACAAGCCTTGATCTCCTCATTTTGTGTAGACCGCTAACCAGTTGAAACCTGTTTGCACTTGTGAAACCTAATCTATTCTTCATGTATCAGAACATATAATAAAACAATATCATTTGAACAATGGTTACCTTTACTAGCTTAAATGCTGAGTTTCCACAGTATAATTTACGTTTACTCGATAGTGTCATTCAACCAGTATCTCCTGGCATATGAATGGTCAACAACCATCTGCAAAAGAGCTTCAAACTATGGCTTTGTTTTCTGCAGCATGTTGTTCAGCCAGTGGCCATTTTCAAAGCACACTCTAGCTTTGACAAAAATTTACACTGGGATGCTTGGTTTGTCCCAAGGCTGTGGTATACAAACCAGTAACACATTATGTGGTCAATGCATTGCATGGTTTGGTGCTGCAAATTTCAAGGTTCTACCAATGCACCTCTCACTAAATAGATTCAGCCTTCTGCTGTGCCAAGTATTAACAATCAGTTACGCAACTATAATTACATACCTGAATGACCTGGCCATCCATGTAAGGTCCATGGTCATCTCATTGTCCATGTTCACAAGCAGCTTCCCCCATGTCAATTTTGAACAAGATCAATGTGAAATCCTCTGACACAGTCCCAGAGGCTGTGATGAATATCACATTTGATTGTTTTGAATGCACCAAAATTGTTCATTTGATTGTGCCACTTGGACTATAACATTACACAAATTCATTTGTACTTTTCATGTGGTTCCACTAACATATGCTTTGGGAATGTACCCTAAAAATGACACAAATTTAAGCTTTATAACTCTTAATCACACTGTCCTAAAAACTCCATACCATATACAACATAACTGTATGGGCTAACCAACTTTAGCTCCCCAGACACCACTTTCAAAACCTTATCTTTGTGAGATAATTTCTACCCACAAATGTTATTTCCTCTCACAGCACAAAACAAATAATTTTGCATGCTAAGACTGAGCAAATCTTCCTAAGCCATGGGGCAAAATCAAATATGCCCTATTGGAGTGGACTGTTAACAAATGTGTCATGTTCTCTACAGCAAAGCCTTGGTCAACCTTACTGGTTCACTTGGAAGCAGAGACTTAGTTGTGGGTGTTTATCTGTAACATCATCTGAGATCAGTTGTAATGGAATTTTGGAGCATAGAAATTAACCCTTGTGTGGAAGGAAATAATTATGAATTGGTATAAGATGAAAATAACATCAGACCAAACACTAAAGGCACTGCTATCTCATAGAGTAATTTGTAGAGATATTTTGGCTTCCATCTTGACTGATATAAGCCTATGCCAGAACATCTTGCAGTATCTGAAATTGATTAATGCAGAGCTATATGAAAATTCATTAAGCATACATATTTAATCTGGGCATTCATGGTGCTTTTAAAAGCTGATATCTTCACTTAAGCATTCATATTGAATCTGGGCATTCATGGTGCTTTTAAAAGCTGATATCTGCTTTGCATTCATGTGTTATTTCTTTTTCATCCACAAAACAAATGCTGTTCATTATTGGTGTAAATGCTCACCACATACCACAAGCTTGAAACAGGGCCTGAACATATCCTTTAACTACTTGTACACTGTATACAATTTATAAGACAAGACCATTCATGTAAAGAACATCTACATCTAAAAAAGCAGGAACTGTGTTGAAGTGTTATCTGCAAAATTATGCTTTGATGACTGTTCAGAGAAAGTATGCAAGGCACAAACATTTGGCTTTACCTGATTAACTTGACAATGTATTCAATTGGCTGTCTCTCTGTGAATGTTAAGATTGGTTGCATCTCTAGATATTGCATTTTGGTTATTTTGGTCCGGCAGTCTATAACCTTAAGTGTACTGATAATCTGGGTTTTAAAATGGATAACTGCAACTTGGAAAAAATGATAAAGCATTCAGAACAGTGAAGGCATATGAATTGTCATACTATTTTAAATGGAAACAAGTACTGCAAACATGCATTAAAGGCAGCTCATCTTGCCTGCATCTTGTTATGATGCATACTAAATCACAAGCATTTCAACATTATTGAACTTGTCATAAAAGGGATGCATGCTAACCTTAACTGTGCAACACTACCAAATTAAGCAGGGCTTAAGCTATCTCAAGCATATCAATCATGTATAGTATCTGAACCTTATTCGCCCAATGCCTTGCTATTCAGATGAAAATCCACCCATTGTTTTAGTTGAAAGGCTCCAAGTATGTGTGTGTGTGTGTGCATGTGCAAATACATCATATCTATAGATTCAGATTAGAATATATATATATATATATATATATATATATATATATATATATATGCATATATATAATGCACTTGAATTTAATGACCAAAATTATACTATTGCAAGATATCACAATAAACCCAAACCCTAAGCCTGGGTACGGAAGTAACTTGTCATCCATCAATGTCAACCTAATCTTTGGTAAAATGCGGTGAGCATAAAAATAACAATTGGGATACATTGAACCACCTACTGATTGTAAGATAACACCACACAAGGAACCAAAAAAAGGTGAAAATATACCCAACTTGTTCATGCTCAACCACAATTACTGAGGAAATTCCGGATATCACAGCAATGCTGCAACAGGAAAAGCAAACACTGAACACAATAAGCTTTCAGGCCTAAAAATGACAAGGTATTACTGAATCAGCATCTCAAAATTGTGCTCATTATACGAGGAACATGATTTTTAATCGCCTTGGGAAAACAAAGAATCAAATGCATCAGATAAATAAAGCAGAATTGATGCACGCAAACTGAACAACAGCCTGTCAATAATGCATGAATTTTGCAGAAACTTGCATTTCAAAAGCCAAAACTGTGACGCACTTTCTCTAACCTCACCGATGTTCCTTGAGCTTCATGTACAATGACCTTGTCCTTACCGAGCAAATCGGAGTCACAAGTCCATACTCCCAAATCACGTAACAATCACGTTCTTTCCTTTCAACTTCAGTTCAAAACAACTCACTGATAGTCTCAGAGAGCGCAGCACGAAAACAATTTAACAACCCCACCCTGCGCTCCCGATCGCAACGCGCCCCGCACACTCCTCGGCACAGTTCACCGACAGACAATCCGGAGCGAGCTCGACGCGGGCTGACGCACAGCGAGACGATAGAGACGCATGTTGCACTTAAGAGGCAAAATGGAACTTTTGCTCAGCTGATAGCTTACAAAATTGGGCATCATGAATTTTTCAGAATAAAGTAATTCGTAAGACGACATAGAGTTTCCTTTATCATATCCCTTTTTCATAATGTAAGAAGATGAAAACACTAATCAAGTCGTTGCTAATTGGTTGAAAAAATATCAAACAGGTCTGCCCATATCTTTGTTTCAAAACAGAATCTGTTTTCATACAAACAATTTTGGTAGCTCTGGTAGAGAGCTCTCAGCCTTGGGATACTTTTTATGTCCATGTAGCATACACAC